GATGAAGTCTAATTCTTAATGCTTGATGTAAGCTCTTGCAGAATAGAAGTAAATCTAAGATCCTTACAAGATACAATACTAGATGAAACTCTATGCAACCTCACAATTTCTCTTATGTATATTTCGGTCAAATTTTTCAATGAATACTTAATATTAATGTGTAAAAAGTGAGTAGGCTTTGTTAACTTATCCACGATAACCCATATGAAATCAAAATTGAGTTGTTCGTGGTAAGCCAACTACAAAATCCATTATTATACTATCCCATTTCCACTTAGGTATAAGTAAGGATTGTATCATTCCTCCTAGATTTTGGTGTTATATTTTAGTTTTTTGACAAATTAAGCATGTTATTACATATTGTGCTACTTCCTTCTTTATTTTGGGTCACCAAAACATTTTTGTAATATCTTGGTATATTTTTGTTATGACTGAATATATGCTCAATTTGCTCTTGTGTGCTTCTTCTCATGTGAAATTTTTTAATCTCTACATCATTAAACATGCATATCTTACCATTAAATCTCACAATTTTTGCCTTATATATGTCAAAATTTTCTCTATCCTTTTGTCCTGTTAACTTCTTCTTCTTTTGAATGACATCTCTCACTTGCGAACTGGTGTGGGTAAAACAATTATTTCAAGAACTTAAATTTTGTGAGATTCAGATAATGAAAATGTACTATGATAATCAAGTTGTGCTACACATTACCTCTAATCCATTATTACATGATAGAACGAAACACAGTGAGATTGACTGTCATTTCGTTCTAGAAATGTTGGTGACTAAAGAAATTTGTACAGAGTTTATTAGATCTAATAATCAACTTGCAGATATGTTAACAAAATCATTAAATGATAATTAGATTGAGTTTATTTGTTTCAATCTTAGTAGGTATAATCTATATACTCCAACTTAGGAGAGGTGTTGGAATTATTAACATATGAGTTGTATCTATTTTTATACCTAGGTTTCTAGATCAATTCAGTTCCTTAACTTTCCACCTTGTATTTATACTTTATCATCATAAATAAATAAATCATATAAAAAGTGTGATTAAGCCCTCTAAAACATATTTTTTCCTATTTTTTTTACTCTTAAGGTTTAGAAGAAAAAAATTAAAAAATTAACACCAAGTAAGTATGCTCCTATGTTACAAGCATGTGACTCATAATTATTCATTTAAAAGAAAGCAAAAGAAATCATGTCTCTTTACAGAAGAATTAAGGTCAAACTTTCATGAAAGTATTTCATATATAAAAAATTCACCCGTGCTTTTATTCTCTTAAAAGTACGTTTATTGATGACGAGGGAATTGAACCAACTTCGTGATTTTCAAAAATTTTTAGATTATATTTTATTTTATTATACATATATGTAATTAAAAAATATATTTTTTAATAATTTTAAGATTATAGATAAAAGAGTAAATATTTTAAATAATGGGAAATGAAGTATGATATATATATATATATATATATATATATATATATATATATACATATATATATATATATATATAAATAAATAAAAAATAAGATTCAATGTCATAAATGATACGAAAAAAAATATTAAAATAGAATTTTATCAAATTGTTTACCTAATTAGATCTCTTTACTTTTTATGCACAAAATTAAATTACAGAGAATATATTTTCCTATATTGTGTATTCTTCTAGTTTTCTCTCCCCTCTTATCTTTTTTTTCTTTGATTTTCTTTTGTTTTTCTTTCTTCTTTTACTCTATAATACTCTTCTACTTAAAAATACTATTTCAAAATTTGAAAAAATATCTTAAAATAATTATTTTAAAGTTAACATTGAAAATAATAAAATATTTACTCTAAAGTATTTTTTATTAATTTATTTAATTTAATTATAATTAAATCAAAATACTAAATAAAAAACATATTTGATATTTAATTAATTTATTGTGATAAAATAATTTTAAATTAATTATTTACTAATATTATAAATAAATTTTGTATTGTCATATTGTCGGAAATTCGTAATTTATCTTTTACAATATATTATTTATAATATTAATTTAATATTTATAAGATTGATTTAAAAAAATTAAGGAATACATAGTCTAAAAATAAAACAAATAAAAAAATTATTACAAGTAATAAGATAATTTTTTAATGCTTGTATTTCTTCCACTATCTTTATGAAAATTTACTTATTATACTTTTTTTGTTATATATTTCTAACACACATTTGATCATAAATAATAAATTATTTATAAAGTAAAAAATATATTTATTTTTATTTGATAATAAATAATGTGTTTAAATTATTAGAGTGTTGTAAGAGTTATTCTTTTAATTATATTTTTTAAGATATTTTATTATTTAATTATTAATGATTTTAAATAATGAGAATATAAATGAATTTTAGTTCATATAATATTTTTTCTATAAATTTTTTTTATAAAAGAAAATTCAAATTTTGATAAAACGAGATTATTCCTCAAATTTATTGAAAATGTTATATTTCTTTTCACATATTTCCTAAAAAAATTTGTTTGATTATTTATTTCTAACTTTTTTTTTCAAAAAATACAAACAAATAAGTTTTCTAAATTTCGTATTATAATAAAAATTAAATATAAGTCTTAAACAACATAAAAGTAACATAAAATAATAAATTTATAATCAATATAACAATAAATTATATTATTAAATAAAATTATCCATATAATTAAATTAGTTCTTTAAAATTATTTTTTCAGTCTATTCAGTGTCAACATAGATTTAATTTGATGAACCGATCGAAAAGTCTGAAAAATAGGTTAGAGCAAGCTAAAAGATTTGTGACTTAAAGTAAATTAGATCTATTTTAATTGAACACATTTAAGACATGAGTTATGAAAGCTTAGGTATTGCTAGTTGAAAGTTTATAGATATATTATAAAATAATAATTTTTTAAATAAAAATAACAATAAATATTATTTTATTAAAAATATATATTATAAATTAATTTGATAAGAGATTCACTTATTTTAATAATAAATATAAAAGAAATCTTTAATATTTATTTATTTTATGATCTAATAATTAAGTTAAATTATTATTTTAAATGAATAAATTAAAACAATAAATAAATAATAATGATAAAGGGAAGTTTTTTAATTTTTAATTTGGGAATAAATGAATTTCTTCTTTAATAATTAATATATTAAATAATATTTAAAATAAAAAATAATTTCAATAATAAATTTTTTTAAAATATATTTTTTATTTTTATTTAAATATTTATATAGATATGTTAATAAGTTTTGTTAATTTTTAATCTAGCTAAAATTCATCCGCTAGTTTATTGTCTTGATATAGGATTAGATTATGAAAAAATTATGATTTATAAACATAGGTAAAATTAAATTATTAATTTTTTTCTTCACTCGTGAGAGTGGATTTTATGATAATTTCATTGTTGTTTTTTAAATAAAATGCGATAAATATTTATAAAAATATTTGTGTACAAGAATTTTAAATTTTTAACTATGGTTTACTTTAATTTCATTATAAATAGATTAAAAGAGGACATTTTATTGATTTAACTTAATTTCATCGTGTATTTGATTGAAAATGAGTTTTTAGAGATTGATTTTTTAGTTATGATGATAAATAGTCATCTCACTTGTCCGGTTCACAAACAGTGACAAAATCTTTGGATCTGATATGAATGTTATAATTATCACCGACCTTAATTAATACCTAACATTCCATGAAAACTATTTAAACACTCTATCACTTGTCAAATCGACTTATTGATGCTTTTCTATTGACTTACTATTATGCTTATGTTTTCTTTAAGGACCACAAGTATTCTTTTCCAAGGTTATAGGATAATTATGATTAAAAAAACACTAATCAATATTAGAAAAATAAAAAAATGAGAGGATTAAAACCCCATCATAAATTTTTTTATAAAGGAAACAAATATTTACTATTGCATGAAAGCACATTTGAGTAAAGGGAACAAAGGTGTCACACCAATCCTTTCTATCAATTAAAGATGCCATGATTTTGAGATAAATAAGATAATGAATATAGTTGTTTATAATTTATATGTAAAATAGTCACATTTATTTAATTATAATTTATAATTATTTATTTAAGAAAAATAGTATAATGTAGAGCTTAGACATGATAGGATTGTATAGAATATTAATTCTAAGATAATCAACAATCATAAATAAAATGAAATAAATTTTCCTATATGTATAAACTAATAGATAGAACCTTTACTGTATAACTTATTTAAAATAAAATAAAATAAAATAATAATAAAAATATTAAGTTAAATAATAATACTGTATATACTCGTAATAAAACCAAATAGATGAAAAAAAAACACAAAGTAAAAGATAATTTTGAATTTTAAGAATATAATAATTTCAAATTAAATTTTAGGTTATAGAATTAAGTTATAAAATAAACATATGTTTACTCTGGAATTAATTTACTGAAAGTAAATTTGATGATTTTTTTAATTAGTAGAAATTCAACATTGTTTACAACAATTCATAAAACACGAAGTAATTAACTGAGATATACCTCAACAAAGTAATTAATTTATTTTAAATTTAAAATAAAAACAAATCAATACAATTAATATAATTAGTTAGTTAATTTGGTTTAAAAGGTTGGATTAATATCGATTAATGGAATATTGATGATGAATACCGGAGTGTAAAAGACTCTCTTAATTCCTTTCGCCTTTGGTTTCATCAGAAAAGGGGAAACAAAAGTCATATCTTGAACCATTATTCTACTTTAGATTCATAATCAATTCAGATATATTAGATTGTGGGTACGAAAATACTTCAATTCGTACATTGTATAGCACGCACACAAACAGTACACAGGCAGTGCATATTGCAGGTGATGATTCAGTGTCTCCAACACAGAATTTCAGTTACGACTCAACACCGCATTTCGTTCCAATTCACACCAATCAATAACCAGTGATCATCAACACCATTCTCGTTTCCCATGGCGAACCCTAAAACCAGGAGTTCCCATGCGCTGGGTGGCGAGGACGATATTGAATCCCGCGAATCGCGGTGGGTTTTCCAGGAAGACGAGGATCCCTCTGAGATCGAGGACTTCGACGCCACCGATTTGCGCCACCAGCCTATGTTCGATTCCGAGGATGAGGATAATGCTGAGCAGAGACTCGTTCGCACCGGTCCGCGAATCGATTCATTCGATGTTGAAGCTCTCGAGGTTCCAGGCGCTCAGAGAAACGACTACGAGGTGATTGCGAGCTTGATTTCCGCATACGAAACGTTGAATTGTGATGTAACAGTGATGCGCATTGTTTTGTGTTCATTCTCTTATTGGTCGTCATTGTTGATTTGAGTGTTGTTGCAGGATGTTAGTGTGGGGAAGGGGATTTTGTTGGCTTTTCAAACTCTTGGTGTTGTTTTTGGCGATGTTGGAACGAGTCCTTTGTATACGTTCAGGGTTATTTTCAGGAAGGCTCCTATTAATGGAAATGAAGATATTCTTGGAGCTTTATCACTTGTTTTGTACACTTTAATCTTGATTCCTTTACTGAAGTATGTCCTTGTTGTTCTGTGGGCCAATGATGACGGGGAAGGTATGTTAACATGGGTGTTTCAAAGATACATATTCAGTATTATTTTCTGCTTTTTCTCTTTGTGTTCTGCACTCGAGTTTATGGTTGTTTTAAAACCATTGCAGGTGGTACGTTTGCGTTGTACTCGTTGATTTGTCGTAATGCTAAGGTGAGTCTTCTTCCCAATCAGTTGCGATCGGATGCCCGAATATCGGGCTTTAGACTAAAGGTGCCATCTCCCGAGCTTGAAAGGTCTTTAAAAATCAAGGAAAGGCTAGAGACTTCGCTGAATCTTAAGAAGATTCTTCTATTATTAGTTCTTGCTGGAATTTCCATGGTGATAGCTAATGGGGTGGTTACGCCAGCAATGTCAGGTTGCTTACTGCTGCTGTGTCATGTATTTAATAACTTTTTTCAGAAGTATATTTTGTCATAATATGTTTGACTGATACTAATATCATACTTGTAATGTAATGACATCTTGTTGCTTTTGAACCTGACCACTGTTGTTTTTCAGTAACCACTTCTTTTCTTTATTTCTTCGTATTAATTCTTACTTCATTCATATCTTTTTCATTCTGCAGTACTATCATCTGTTAATGGTTTGAAAGTTGGGGTAGATGCAATTAAACAAGGTATTGTGATAACCTATTAACAAATGTATATTTAGTAGTTATTGATTATACTTGCATTTGAGGTTGTTATCCACGGACACATCTAGAAAACCTTTGACTTCTGTTTTCTTGTTTGGAATAAATTTTTGGAACTTTTTCTATAAAACAGTAATAGCTTTTTAGGCTGCCTTTTTGTATATAATATTGTCGAAGTATGCTTTGGTCTTAGTATTGAACATATTCAGTCATTTATTTGTAGAATTATTTTGCTGTGTATGTCAATCCAACCAAAAAGTTTAATATTATGGGATGTTGTTCTTATAGATTAGGTAATCCTGGTGGACACTGTAACAGAATTTGGCTAAATATTGTTATTTTAGTATAATTTGTGTAGTTGGATTAATATTATTTTCTTTTTCCTTTATTATGCAGATGAAGTGGTGATGATTTCTGTTGCCTGCCTTGTCGTTTTGTTCAGTGTACAGAAATATGGAACAAGTAAAATGGGGCTTTTTGTAGGACCTGCTTTGTTTATATGGTTTTGTTCTCTTGCGGGCATTGGTGTATACAATCTTGTAAAATATGACAGCAGTGTCCTGAGGGCATTTAATCCTATTCACATATATTATTTCTTTGCAAGGAATTCAACTAAAGCATGGTATTCTCTTGGGGGCTGTATTCTGTGTGCAACTGGTAAGTACATATATGCAGGATCACGGATAAAGTGGATTCAGTAATAGATGTTCTGCTCCTCATGTATGTTTGTGATTCGATTCAATTGGTGCGTCTGTTTTTCTGTATTTATAATTGAGTAGAATTGATTTTGATAGGAATGATTTTGATAATATCTAAGTACTCATTTGTTTGAAATTGAGTAGAATTGATTTTGATAGAAATGATTTTGAACTGTTGAATGTAATTGGGATGTTTGCCAATTTTAATCTCATCCGCCAATTTAACAATGGAAAATGTGCATTCTGGGAAATTGATTCTTGTTGTAAAACTAATAGGCCTCAAGTTTCCACTCACGATCCATCTGAGGTTAAATAACATACCTAATGACTTTTATCAGAATGTGAGGTTCATTGGAGTATTTAATCTGCCTTTTTGTGGTATAGGAGAAAAATATTACTTTTAATTGCTCGAGTAATTGGTAGGACTACTAAACTTGTAGTCAAATTAGACTTCCAGTAATGAATTTATTCTGATAGGACGAATAGATTAGTAATGGACAAATTCAAACAAGCTTTGTTCAAAACCTTAAAGTTGGGAATGGATTCATTATACGGAAGCACTGGTTGCATTTGGTTAGTTCATTTCTTTGTGGGGTATCGACTAGCTAGGAAGACCTAAATTAAAAATGTGGAATGTTCATATTTGAATTCAATACAGCTTAATGAAGTATGATCTGCAATTGTTCTTGTACAGATAGTCATCAGTTGACTAATTATTATATGACAAGGAGTTGGAGGAAAAAGACCCGTCTTCACCAATGGCATATTAAGTTGCCCCCTATTGATAAATTAGAATTTTTTGATAAATATTATTAGGGAAAAAGATGTTTGCTGGAGGGCCAATGGTAGTGTCTATATGGTTTGTGGTCTATGATTTACTGTTTGTTTCTTTCATCTCATCGTTGAGGCTCTAGTAGACATATTCCCTGACCTCTCAAGCCCCGCAATTTTAGCAGCCTTGATTTGTGTATGATAGGGTGGTAGGTGACCCTTTTAATGCTGCTAGTATAGATTCTAATACTATCTTAGAATTTGGGTTTGGACCTAAATCAACCCTTCAAATTTGGTTTGTATGGTGACATCTGCGCCCCTCTTATATATTTTAGTTTAGCCATATCACTGGTAAATATGAGATCTCTAATAATTCTAAAATGTAAAAGTGGCATCTTTGCTTTAGATCACTTTACGAAACATTGAGTCCTAGGTTAGTCAGCCTGGAAGCTATACTCAAAGCAGACAGGTTTGAAAGTCAATAAAAAAAGTGATAGGTGAAGGGTCCCACTCCTATAAACAAGCCTATATCCCGTCACTTGATAAGACTTATAATGATAGAATGAACTGAAAGCTAAGAAATTGGAACGACTAGACTCCGAAATGCTTACTGAAGCAAAATTGTAACTACTTCCAAAAGATCAATAACTCTATTTTTCTTCCCCCTAATTTGGTGGACAGGATGGAATCAAATTTTTATTCACTAGTCTCATTATCATTCCATCCCTTTCCAAACAATTGGTTGGTACCTTTATTCCATTTCATCATAAAATACAAAAAGTTGGTTTGATAATTTTATTCTGTTTCATACCTTCCATCATTAGATATCCAAAAATAGTCTAAATTTTGATCACCAAACAAAACTGCTTGCTCTGTCACAGTATCCCCTGCCCTTTGAAACCAAAATCTCTTGATATGTAATGTGGTGAATATGCAATTTGTATTTTGGAATTGCTGACAGTACATAATTTTTTTAAACTGTTGGTTTACGTTGTTACCTGATCATGTTACAGGCTCTGAGGCTATGTTTGCAGATCTTTGCTATTTCCCTGTACGGTCAGTTCAGGTAATGAGTGATGACTATGTTATAACTACTTTCTGTATCTTATAAGCTAATGTTTCATTAAACTGATGGTGGTTTGTATGTAGCTTACATTTGTATTTGTTGTTTTACCGTGCCTACTGTTGGGTTATTTGGGACAAGCTGCATACCTGATGGAAAACCATGCTGATGCTGGCAATGCCTTCTATTCTTCTGTTCCAAGTTAGTGTTAGAATATTTAGTTTCTGAACTAGTGTTTATCAACATTTTCAGTGACATTTATCTGCACTTTACAGAACCTTCATGTAAAGACTATTTTGTGTGTGCAGGTGGAGCATTCTGGCCAACTTTCCTCATTGCCAACATTGCTGCATTAATTGCAAGTCGCGCAATGACAACAGCCACATTTTCTTGTATAAAACAGTCTGCTGCACTTGGTTGTTTCCCTCGTCTTAAAATAGTTCATACCTCTCGGAAATTTATGGGCCAGATCTATATCCCTGTCATAAATTGGTTTCTCTTGGCCGTTTCTTTGGTCTTTGTCTGTACTATATCGAACATTGATGAGATTGGAAATGCATATGGTAATGATTTTGTTTCAATTTCTCTATTTTTATGTTCAAAGATAATTTGTCAAATTTATCAGCCGATAGCATGTCAAATTTAAATAATGTTGCATTTTTAATGGGATAGACTGTATATAGTTACTGAAATTACTTGGAAAGACATTGAGCTTCTCTTTTATAATTTCACTTGGATATCCTGAACGGTAGTTGAGAATAATATTAGTGGAGGTGGGCCTTGACCCAATTTGATTTAAGAAACCTTAAAAGTGTATAAAAACCATCAATTGTGCAGTTTTACACATTCTGACTTTATTTTCAGAAAAATGACATTTTGTGCAAAATGGATATTTTTGCTTGCATTCACTACATTTTTGTTGATGCTGTTTGGTCCTAGTGCACCAACCCTTATTGGAAACAGGCAGCCTACATCAAGACAAGCTTTCACCTTAAGTTAAAATTTGTAAAATGAATACATCAATAATAATTTGATTCTTACAGCTAAGATAGGAGGAGGGAGCTAATCTTTCTTTGGTTTTTATGCTCCGGATTTTCCTTTATCATTATTTTACTCTATTATATAGAATAATATAAAATACATATTTGTTTTCAGCTTGTTCCTTTGTCTTCTTTCAGGCATTGCTGAGCTGGGGGTGATGATGATGACCACTATTTTAGTAACACTTGTTATGCTTCTTATATGGCAGATACACATCATTATAGTGCTTAGTTTTGCAGTAGTCTTCCTGGGACTGGAGTTGACTTTCTTTTCGTCAGTTTTGTGGAGTGTAACCGATGGAAGTTGGATTATATTGGTCTTTGCTGGAATAATGTTTTTTATAATGTTTGTATGGAATTATGGGAGCAAGCTCAAGTATGAAACTGAAGTAAAGCAAAAGCTTTCAATGGATTTAATGCGAGAATTAGGCTGTAATCTTGGGACAATACGAGCTCCTGGGATCGGTTTGCTCTATAATGAGTTGGTCAAAGGAATTCCAGGCATTTTTGGGCATTTTCTAACCACACTTCCAGCAATACACTCTATGATTATATTTGTGAGTATTAAGTATGTTCCAGTTCCTATGGTACCTCAAAGTGAAAGGTTCCTTTTTCGGCGAGTTTGCCAAAGAAGCTATCATATATTTCGTTGCATTGCCAGGTAAATAAGCTAGATATATTGCGTTTTTGGATATTTGTCGTTTTGCTGCTTTATTAGATCAGTGGAAGTGTCAACTTTTGAAAAGCGGAATGAATTGTGAAAAAGTAGTCCTATATGAATATTACTTTTGGAATTTTGTGCTATAGGTTTTCATGAAGTCTCAAGGAAAATTTAGTCAATAATATAAGGTAAAGTGTCGTAGATGTGATTGTTGGTAAAGATAGTTAATTCAGGAATAATTAGAAAGTGGCTAACTGAATTAATAAATTGGTTGCTCCTCAGCCACTTTTCAACGGTCATAAACTGGAATACATTTTACTATCTTTTTGTAATTTTTCCAATAACATATACTATCCCTGTAATTTAAGTGTGTTTAATTTTTCTCAATCCAATAAGCCTGATCAGAACTTTTTTATCTTCAACAGGTATGGTTACAAAGATGTTCGCAAAGAAAATCACCAAACTTTTGAGCAACTGCTGATGGAGAGCCTAGAGAAGTTTATACGTCGTGAAGCTCAGGAGAGGTCGCTCGAGAGTGATGGGGATGATGATTCTGATTCTGAGGATGACTACTCTGCTTCTAGGGTTCTTATAGCTCCCAATGGGAGTGTTTATTCACTTGGCGTTCCTCTTCTGGCTGATTTTATTGATACAAACATACCCAAACCCAATTTTGAAGCCAGCACATCTGAGGAGGCAAACCCTGAATCTCCTAAGCCCCCAGGGATAGATGCTGAGCAGAGTCTTGAAAGAGAGTTATCTTTTATACGCATGGCTAAAGAATCTGGAATTGTTTACCTTCTTGGTCACGGGGATATACGGGCTAGGAAAGACTCATGGTTTATCAAGAAGCTAATTATAAACTATTTTTATTCTTTTCTGAGAAAGAACTGCCGAAGGGGGATCACAAATTTAAGTGTACCCCATTCGCATCTGATGCAGGTTGGAATGACCTACATGGTTTGACCATCAATTTTCCAAGCAGAACAATTGACTAGTAATTTGAAATTATAGGTTGGTAGCAGTGAGTTGGTCTTGGAAAGGTCTCATTTTGCAGTGCTTTTAGCATGATCGTCTCTTTTGGGTCCTCAAATTGCGGAATATATATCTCTGTAGCTCATGCTGTGGATCTTGTTCCAAGGTTCTTTATGGTTGTAAGCTTGCACTGTAGATAATATGGAACTGGCATAACCTTGAGCAAAAGGAAAGATAGATGTATAATTGTCATTATAAAAAGAAACTGTAGATTATGTACACATAGTGTGGATGTGCCAAATTCCACTTCAACATGATGAAACACGGAGTGTTCTGTACTCCTACTATCTTAAGACAAATTTCCTTAGTTTGCATGACCTGTTCGCCTGATCCATTTTGTGAGTCACTTTAGTGGTTAAACTTTAAAAAAGATTATTACCCTTGCGGATTTTATTGTTGTGGATTTCTCTGTTTATTCACATGAGAAAATAGCTTACGATTATAAATATAGTTTACACTGCCATTAGACTTTATGATTATTATATAATTATTGTGAGATGCATCAATTCACCTATGATAGAAATTGGATAATCCAGTCACAATTTAAACAACGCTGTTTAAATTGTTACACTTCAGAATGAGTTATGTTCGTATTATCAATTATAATTTAATATAGTATGCGTTCGATTTAAAAATATTAATAATTTTCAAAATGATATTAAAGGTGGTAAAAGTACATAATCTTATCTTAACTCCCTGGATATTAGTACTAGAGAATGGAAATTGAAAATTTGAAGGAGACAATACTTAATCTTCTCCCACAAGATCACCCCATCCACATATTTTGAAGACTTGGAGATATTTGAAATACAAAAATATAAACAGATTTTCGTTAGTCTTGTTCGAATTCCAAATTCATGGACTAGAAAAGACATTTATTTAAGAGATGAATCAAGACTTCACATCTAATTTACAAACAATAAAAGACCAACGGCAAAATGAACACGTCATCAGAGGAAAGCTGCTATAGAGAAAAGCTTATTGTTAAAAGAAGACAGCTAGAGAGCTCCTAAGAGAGAGACCTTTGAGAATCAAATAGAAGTGTCGCCCAGCAAAATGATTAATGCAATTTATTCTTTCACATTACATCAATAACTTGGTTGGTGTCCCCGTCTCCTGAAGCTGTGGTTTTTTCACTTCTATACATACCAATTCTCACGTGTACCAAGTTCCTTTCATCCTTGGGCGATCGATCACCGCAAATCAAAGGTTAAAAGTATACACTTGTCATGCTCTACCTGAGCTGGCATCAGGAAAGTCCGTTGTGATACTTTGTACCTGCGTGCATCCAACATCTAAAAATGTCGGTTTGTTTTCTTGTTTTGTTGTACCATATCAGAATCCTCCACATGTATTTTGGTGTTTGGCGATGATCTCGATATTTGTTTCTGCTTTGATGAAAATTTGAATCTCAAAAGTAATGAGTTTGTCATTACACCAATTGAACTCAGCCCCATGAGAGCCCCTGCAATTGATGGAGTCAGTACAGTTCCATTTATGGGAAATAACGCTCCAGCAGCAATTGGAATTCCTACCTGTTAAAAGATAGAGGTATAAATAGACCATGATGGTTGAATAACAAACTAGGACAGTATTTTGGTACATGAACGTAAACCTTGAATATCAGTCCTATTACTCATTGAGTTTCCTTTTAATAATGTTATATAGAATTTCTCTCACTACCCCCATTCGGACAAGAACCATGCACATATTCTCTTCACCGATGCCTTCAATGGTAATCTTTAGATCTGTCCTAATCACCTTAATTCTTTTTCTATCATTTTTTCTTCATTTAGTTTCACACCAATATGCAGTCATACAATAATTTCATATCCCATAATTTTCGGTACGTGAGCTTGATAGTTACATTTCAGTCATAAATAATTCCGATGCTTCTCTTTATTTTAACCACCCAGCCCGTATCTTGTATGATATTAATTTTCCCATCATCTTTCCTAGATATTTAAAAATAGTGTTATCAAAACTATTCCAATATTAGCTCATTTTTAGGTAGACTAGCTTTTATTTATCAAATATATTCATCGATTGTTTCTTAAGTTTAGTAAGTATTTTTAGACATTCTAAATGTCAAGATGGCATAAAAGTAAGAAGATAAAGAGAACATCAGAATACTTAAACGTAAAAAAGACGTAATGAGAAAATTATAATTTACTAAGCGTATTTCTTTTCTTATATAATATCCACAATTTTTATTCATTATATATTTATATACATGCACGCAAACTCCCAACTTTTTTTTGTCAATACTATAAAAGCTTTAAATTTGACGTATGTATAATTGAGCCTAAAGTCAAGTTTGACCTTGTTTATTTATTAAAACAAGTGAGATTGATTGATGTTTAAATATTAATAGTTCACCGAATAACTCCACTCGATTACATTCCTAATTATAGTCCTTCAGTGGGAATGTTCTTTTGCTGATCATCAAAATAGAAAATGCTAAGAACAATTTCCACATTTCAGCAAGCAACTTTTCTATGAGAAACGAAAATCAAATTTCGTGAAAATGTAGAGTGGAAAGCATAGAAATGAATTACGCATGCGAAAAATTCTTAGATATACATGCTGATGAATTTCTATATTTAGACAGTAGAAGAACTTACAATGTTGTATATGAAAGCCCACCAAAGATTCTGTTTTACAGTATTCATGGTCAGCCTGCTAAGCTCCAAGGCATCAACTAGCTGCAAGAAAATAATAAACAGGATAAGTATCTAATATACATTCCATTATCTAAAGGCCGAATGGTCTTTCGGGTCCTTGAAAATGAATATATTTTCTTGTCATTCCATAAATGTTAATAAATAAATAAAATGTCCCTAAAAGTAATTTGCCTTTCATAACCTTTGTTTTAAATAAATCCTTCCATATTATTATTAAAATATATTTTGGTTCTTCTATATTGGACTAAATTATATTTTAATGGCCACATGTAGAATTTATTTGAAATAGAAGATAGAACGTAAATAAAAATTATTTTCAAAGTTTTTATTTTAATTTATTTAAATTCTACTACTATTTGGAAACCTTTGTAATCTTCCAGGACTAAATTGACCAACAACCAAAAATTATTGTGGGTGCCCATAATGTAGTGTCTTAACAAAAATAAACGCATTGAGAACAGAACCAAACCATGCTTTTGTTATTAAAGCAAAAATATGCTCTACACATTTCGTGTAAATCAACTACTTTGAATCCCCTGTCAGATGTCCCTTAGAATATTGAATGTACTAAAAAATACGTAACTGGAAAATAAAACTGATTCCAATCCTATATATATATTATATTAGTGCACATTCCAACGAATTTTTCTTTCAATATTTCGAAAATGATATAGGCTAGGGGGCTCTTTGACAAGGTCGACAGAACCATTAAAACGGCTGTTTCCAAGTACAAAAAGAGACTGACATGAAGTCAAATAATAAGAATGTTATAAGTATATTAGAAGGAAAAAACTAGGTTAAATAACAATGACCTGTGAGAGCTGGTTGCGCATTAGTACAATTGAAGACACCTCACTAGCAGCCCCGACACCTCCACTTAATGCAATACCAACATGTGAAGAGGCCAGGGCAGCTGCATCGTTAATTCCATCACCAACCATAGCTACAATGTTCTTATCCTTCTGTAGTTCCTTTATGAACGTTTTTTTCTCAGCTGGTTTCACTTCAGATAGCACCTGCAAATGCCAACATATGTCAGACATTGAATAAACAAAATTTCTCCGTGTATTAAAAAATATTAACAAGCAAAATAATTTTTAGGTGCACGAGGATGCAGACCCAAGACGTCTATATCTATCTAAACATCTAAACTAAAACCACAATAGGTAGCAAATTTAACTCGGGCTTTGTACAGTAACTTAAACTCAATTTTTATTCTTGCAATCTTATGATGAATGGAATATAAAACTTCACGGGTTTAAGCATGGGAGGGGGTATGCATAAGACATCATTTGTAGTTCCACCGTTGTATCTTATCATCTAAAGTGAACAAGTAAAAATTTCTGACTAATCAAGTAATTTATGATTTAAAGCTGCTGAAGATCATTTATAGTGTGAAGATTTGATTAAAGCAATATTCAGTTCTCAGCCTCTCTTCAATGGAGTACATCTTCAATGCGGCATTGACCATATGTAGTCTGTCTTTTATAACAGTCATTCCTAAACATTTTCAATATTGCACCAAAATCTAAGCCATACAGGTGACCTTAATATAGAAAGATTGTATCATATGCTGAAAGCCTTTTACCTTCTCTTTGGGAATTCCAACAAGAGAAGCAACATGCTCCGCAGCATTCCTCTTGTCTCCTGATAGCATATATACACCTATATTTTGCTTTGACAATTTCTCAACAACGTCTCTAGCATCTTCCCTTATCTCATCTTCAAAATAAATTAGGCCAGCTATAGTATCACCAATTCCAACATAGACAAAGGATTGGTTATTAAACTTATCCACTTCTTGATGTAAACTGTTAACAACTCCATGCCTGCAGAAATTAAATCACCTGGTGAAGGTTTGAAATTTATAACGAACAAATAACAAAAAAAAAAAAAAAAAATCTGCACAAAACTAATAAATATATTTGTTACAATACAATGAAAGCTACCAGTCTCAGTGAAATGAACTAGGTCTAAAGCAAGTAAACACTGGTATGCTGCAATTGTTTGAAGGAAATATCTACTTTATAATAAAGAAATAAGAAATATTAAAAAGTTTGAGGAACATCATATATTGTGCATGCTTGGACAAGTACCTGGTGATCCATTCCAATGTACCCACAGAAACCTTTTTATCATCAATTGTTGCCACTGCGCCAGATCCAGGTTCTTCCAGGAAGGTTCCATCTATTACCTGTAAATTTTGCTGTAAGGCATAAGCTGACAGTTTATCTTCACAACTTTTATGACAAGAAGCTAATGTACTTGAAATATAAAATGTATACATTACAACTCCACAGGTTCTATTCAACAATACCTGTTTAATCAGCCTGACAACTAAAATACTGACTGTAAAGGGGTAGTAAACCAAAGTGTAAAAAAGGATAAGTTGCTAAGCACTTCAAATCATGTTAATGTCAGTAAGGAAAGGACCAATATTTGAATAAGGCAATAAGATAATTCCAAACACAGACCATAATTGAAAAACATTAACAAGAAATAAACTGAGAACCTTAGCATTATGACAATTAAGAGCTTGAGCAGCGTCCACAATTGCTTTCCCGACTGGATGTACGGAATTTGATTCTACTGCAGCTGCGAGCCTTAGCACTTCAACATTAGACAAAGCATTTTCTTCAGTTTGGCTGGCATTGAAAGGCATTAAGGAGTCAAAAACATATATTAATTTTAATTTTAATTTAAATTTTGTAATTTCTTGCATTGGACCTTGTATTTGTTTCTATAACTTTTGTAATTAGAGACTCTTTAGACATTAGTTTCTATTAGATTTTTGGATGACTAATTGGATGAGTCTACTGGACCTTAAGTCTTAGGTCCATAGTATAAAATACTTTTTGATAGACTCTTATATTCATAATATTCTGGAGAAATTGAAGCTTAACTTTAGTAAGAGAAATTCTGTCAGTTATTAAGTAGAACTTTTGATTTGGTTTCAAAATGATGAATTCTCCTCAACTTATCAATCTTGATTGTAGTGTATTCTTCATTTCTAATCTTTGTCCACATTTTCCTTTTGTTCTTGTTCATTGGTAGAAATTGTCTGAAACAATCCATAAATATAATCTTCATTGTAGTGTGTTCTTCATTTCTAATCTTTGTCCACATTTTCATTTTGTTCTTGTTCATTGGTGGAAATTGTCCGAAACAATCCATAAATATAATGAGGTTAGATCTTTATCGAAGTATATATAGACACTAAACCTAGAGATATGATTTTTCACAGTCTATGTTTCTCAAAATAGTTGGATAACAGGCCATCAAAGATGTTCTCTAAGTAGTGAAATGAAAGAAGTCAGGACTATTTTTGCTACATGGCAACTTCATTATACAAGTTAGAGATGTTACTAACTACAACTACATACACAAATTATTTTATCTTATTAAGAAAACAAATTGATGAAATACATTTAATGACATATAACACATGATGATGACTTTCCCTTTCTTCACCAATCCATAGATGAAGCCATGAAGACACAAGGGTTTCCAACATCTCTATGACTACTAATTTTAAGAAGGCCTATATAAAAGAGAAGATGAAGACTTTACAAGTGACAATTTTTTCTAAGAAGCAATCTTGTATACAAGCGTTCTATTATCTGTACTTAAGTTGTAATATTTTTAAATTTTATTCTTTGTGAGAACTTAGATTGACCGAGCATATTCATATTTGTCTTATTCAAATGTTGTAAATAAGCAACTTCTACGAGAGAGAAATAAGAAGAAAAATTGAAATGATCTTCTCCATAGATTAAAATTAATTTATGCACAATTTAAAAATAAAAAATAAAATTAGAAGAGCCATATAAGAGAGCTTTTACAAATTACTTTTAATAAGCTAACTTTAACCTAGGAAGAAACTCAATTCATTTTCTCATCTTACTTTTCTCTCCTATAAGTCCTTATGGAGAAGTTTGTCCAATTAGTCCCCTTGTATTCCTAAAAAAAAGTAACCATTAAATCTTTCTTATTCTCATTGGTCAAGTTGAACTACATGAAATAAATGATGCCATAAGGTCCAATGAATACTCTATACTCTTTGTTGGAGCTCTTACATGAACTAGTGAAACAGGACAAGTAGTTTATGTTGGAAGTCTTACATTGTCTACATTAGTGCAACCTATATATCTTGTGGGTCACTTCCCTTGATGCTAAGTAATTTTAAGTTGAAATTTGATATGGTATCAAGACATACAAATCATCTTAGTATATTGCTTGTTTTTATAGGCTCGCTTGTTTCTGTAGACATATGTGGAGGGGAGGTTTTAGGAAGTCCCATACTGCTTGCGTCAATTCTTAGGATGCAACTTATATATTTGTTGGATAACTTCACTATCACCCTTGAGCTGCCACCATCTAATTCTTGGACCTGAAACTTGTCATTCTGTTTACAGCTCTAAAAATGAATAACAAAGATTAAGACCTTGTTATTACTTAGAAATCCTTGAGAGTTCATTTATGAAAACTCCTTACCAAAAAAGAAAATCAATTTGCAACCTTCACATTTCACTCTTGTAAGTGATAGAATGTTTATCTTGCTTTTTAAACCAAGTGTTTCACAATCTTGAAAGTTCAAATCAAATGAGAAATCAAGAATAGACAATCCTTCTTCATTCAACTATCCAAAACAAAATTGGCATGCCACAAGTTCATCTAAATTGTCTTGTCTCAACCAACATGATAAGTGCCTAAATGGAGACCAAGAAAATCAACAAGAGTATACGTGGGAAATCAAATAGTATTTTAGGAAAGAATAAATTAAAAAATTTGTAATCAGTACAAATTTGAACAATTAGGAACAATCCTATAAATCAAGGGATCCTAGAATAAAATAGAGTTATTATATTTCCTTAAATAGCTTAAGTCTCCTGTATATATCTTGTATGATCTCAATTTGTATTAAAATAATAAAATAAGATTTTATTTAATTTAATTTTCCAGATGGTATCAGAGCCAAAACCTAACATCTTTCCGGTTATTTGTCTTGGGTCAAGAGTTGCCCTTTCGTTGTGGGTCAAAGTACCCTTTGCTTGGTCCGACAGGCTTCGTTCGAGGGGGCGTGTTGGAAATCCCACATCGCCTACCTCATGTCATTTGGTATGGTTTAAATACATGTTAGGCTATTCCACATATTGCTAATTTGTTTTATGTTGGAACCTTAACATGGTATCAGAGCTTCCGATCTAGGAAGTTCTGTCTGCGCACTATAAATCCTAAGACGGCGGCCTGTATTGCTGCTGCATTTTTCTTAACCCTAAGATGGCAGCCTGCATTGCTGCTGCATTTTTCTTAACCCTAAGATGGCAGCCTGCATTGCTGCTGCATTTTTCTTAACCATAAGACGACAACCTGCATTGCTGTTGCATCGCACCTTCTTGCTATAACGTCAAGGGAAGAGGAAGTTGTGAACCCAACCCCAAAAATGGGGAATATCCAATCCCAACAATCTGGAGAACTGCAGAATATCCATTCTGCATATAAACTAAATGGAAGAAATTATTTGAAGTGAGTCCAACTTGTTCGTACAGTGTTAAATATGCATATAGACTAAATGGAAGAAATTATTTGAAGTAAGTCCAACTTATTCGTACAGTGTTAAATAGAAAAGGGGTAGCCGAACAGAAGAAAGGAGGATCAGCAAATGTGGAGAAGAAAGGTGATGGTCTCTGGTATATCTACTGCAATAAGCCTCGTCATACTCGAGAGAAGTGCTGGAAGTTACATGGAAAACCTTTAAATCGAGATCGAGAAGGGGGACACAGAGGAGACTCCTTAAGGAAAAGATGACAAGTTTATGTTGCTGCTGAAACAAACGAAGGAAATAATCCAGAAGTTGTTGCCCATATTAACCAAGAGGAGATAGAAAGGGTGAGAACCTTTTTTAATAAGCTGGAAAAACCTAAAGGTGTGTGTTTTTTAGCATACTCAGGTAAATTTCCACTTTCTTTTGGATTAAATGTCTTAAATATACTTTTTAACTGTTATTGGTTATTGGATATTGGATTCTGGAGCCACAGACCACATGACATCATTAGCCAAACACTTCTCCACATATTCCCCATGTCCCAGCAACAAGAAAATTGCCACAGCAGATGGAACCCTTGTAACTGTAGCTAGTCAAGGAAATATCCAAATCAATCTTTTAATAACCTTAAAAGATGTTCTCCATGTCCCAAAGTTGTCCACCAACCTAGTGTCTATACAAAAATTTATAAAGGATTTGTCATGTAAAATTGTTTTTTTCAACGATCATTGTGTATTTCAGGACAAGGATTCGGGGAGGATGATTGGACATGCTAGAGAATGGAATAACCTTTATTATCTCGAAGATCCAAGTCTATCCAGCAAGAACATAATCTCTCACTCCTTCATATCTGAATCCTTGATGACCAACAGAGAAAAAATTATGCTTTATCATTGTCGGTTGAGACATCCCTCTTTTGATCAAAATTATGTTTCTCTGTTTACCAAGTTAGATGTTGAGAATCTTTATTGTGAGGTGTGTGAACTTGCTAAGCACAAGCGTGTATCTTTTCCAATAAATAATAGAATTAGCAATTTTCCTTTTTGTCTTGTTCATACTGATCTATGGGGACCTTCTAATGTTCTAAATGTGTCTGGTGCTCGATGGTTTGTCACCTTTATAGATGACTGTACAAGGGTCACTTGGGTTTTCCTACTTAAACAAAAATCAGAAGTCAGTTCTGTCTTCCTAAACTTCCACTCCTTGATAAAAAATTAGTTTGGTGTTAATATTAAGAGGCTAAGGTCAGATAATGCCAAAGATTACTTCAATCATGTCCTCAATTCTTTTTGTCAAAAAGAAGGTATAATTTATGAGTCCTCTTGTGTCAAAACACCACAGCAGAATGGGGTCGCAAAGAGAAAAAATGGACATTTATTAAATCAGATTCGAGCATTGTTTTTCCAAAAAAGTGTCCCAAAAAATTTTTGGGGGGAAGCTGTCCTTACAGCAACATACCTTATCAATAGACTATCCTCTAAAGTCTTAAAATCAAAAAGCCCTATGAAAGCTTTGTCATCTTTCTATCCAAACCTGTCCACTACAAATAATCTTAAACCAAGAGTTTTTGGGTGCATCTCATATGTCCATATTCATAGTAGGACATATTCATAGTACAGACAGGGGGAAACTTGATCCTAGAGCCTTAAAGTGTGCCTTTGTTGGTTACTCATCCACTCAGAAAGGGTATAAATGCTACCACCCCCGTCCAAAAAATTATGTGTCTAGGGATGTTACCTTCAATGAACATGAGGGTTATTTCCATCAACCTTATCTTCAGGGGGAGAGTTTCAGGGAAGATAGGGGAAGATAAGAAAAGTAGTAATTCTGGTTTTCCCATTCTTCCAAACTTGATATTTGAACCTAAACAAGATTAAATTGAAAGTAGTAATTTTGGTTTTCCCATTCTTTCCGACTTGATATTTGAACCTAAACGAGATCAAATTGAAGTTGTAACAAGTGAAACAAGTCAAGGAATTGGTCAAGAAAAGGAAGTTGGTCAAGAAAGTGAAATTAATTGTGAAGCTGATCAAGAAGATGTTGAAGCTGAAAAATTTGGTAAGAAGCTGGTGTACTCAAGAAAGACTAAGGCCATTCCAGGATCAAGCCATGTTCAAGAATCCAACTCGACTCCACAAAAAGAAGTAACAATTTTTTCTCCAGCTGTGCAGGTTGAAATTGAAACCCAAAATGATCCTGTCCTCCCAATTGCCATTAGAAAAGGGACAAAAAAATGCAGCAAACAACCTCTACCCTCTCTCAAATTACCTGTCCTTTAAATTTTTCTCTCCTACTCATAAAACCTTCCTAGTAAACCTAAACACTATACTTCTACCTAATACCCTATCTGAGGCATTGTCTGACAGAAAATGGAGGCAAGCCATGGATGTAGAGATGGAGACATTGGAGAAGAACAATACCTGGGAGTTAATCACCTTACCAATAGGAAAGAGGCCAGTTGGATGTAAGTGGGTCTATACAGTGAAATACAAGGCTGATGGATCAATTGAGAGATATAAGGCAAGACTAGTTGCCAAAGGGTTCACCCAAACCTATGGAGTTGATTATTTGGAGACCTTTGCTCCGGTTGCCAAAATGAACACAATTAGGGTGATATTGTCCCTTGTTGCCAATTATGGTTGGAACTTGGAACAATTTGATGTTAAGAATGTTTTCCTACATGGAGACCTTGAAGAAGAAATTTACATGGAGATACCTCCGGAATATGGTAGAGATGTTGCCAACACTGTTTGTAAGTTGAAAAAGGTATTATATGGACTAAAACAATCCCCCTATGCATGGTTTAGCAGGTTTACTAAAGTTATGACAGGTCTGGGTTACAAACAAAGCCAAGGGGACCATACTTTGTTCTTTAAACATTCCAAGTCAGGGGGAGTAACAATATTATTGGTGTATGTGGATGACATAGTATTAACTGGAGATAATAAGAAGAACAACAATTGTTGAGTCAATGCTTAGGCAATGAATTTGAGATCAAGACCTTGGGAAAACTAAAATATTTTTTGGGAATTGAAGTTGCCCACTCCAAGAAAGGGATAATTATATTCCAACAGAAATACATCACTGATTTGCTCAAGGAAACTGGCAAGGCAGCTTGCAAACATGCTAGTACCCCATTAGAACCAAACCTAAAGCTTGGAAATGCAGAAGATGTTGCTCTTGAAAAAGATATGTACCAGCGATTAGTGGGCAGACTTATATATTTGTCGCATACCAGGCCATATATTGCCTATGCAGTAAGTTTAATTAGCCAATTTATGCATAACCCAAAGGAGACTCATTTATAAGCAGCCCACAAAATTTTACAGTACCTTAAAGGAACTCCAGGAAGAGGGATTCTATTCAAAAGGAATAGTAATGTGAAGCTTGATGCCTATACTGATGTTGATTATGCAGGGTCAATTATGGATAGGAGATCAACTACAGGATATTGCACCTTTCTTGGAGGAAATCTTCTGACTTGGAGAAACAAAAAGCAGGGTGTAGTGGCTCAGTCCAGTGCTTGAAGCGGAATTCCGAGCCATGGCACAAGGTATATGTGAGTTGCTATGGCTTGAAATCATCTTAGAAGGATAAAATGGGAAGAATCTATGAAGCTCTATTGTGATAATAAGTCAGCAATCAGCATTGCCCACAACCCAGTGCAACATGATAGAACAAAGCATATTGAAGTAGACAGACACTTCATCAAAGAAAAGCTTGATAGTGACTTGATATGCACTCCATATATGTCCTCTCAAAACCAAATTGCAGACATTCTTACCAAGGGACTGAGCTGCCACAATTTTGAGAAGATTGTATCCAAGTTGGGAATGGAAAACACCTATTCACCAGCTTAAGGGGAGTGTGGGAAATCAAATAATATTTTAAGAAAGAATAAATTAGAAAATTTGTAATCTGTACAGATTTGAACAATTAGGAACAATATCATAAATCAAGGGATCCTAGAATAAAATAGAGTTATTATATTTCCTAAAATAGCTTAAGTCTCATGTATATATCTTGTATGATCTCTTTGTATTAAAATAATAAAATAAAATTTCATTTAATCTAATTTTCAAGACATACATTTACTCGAAGAGTAACAAGGAGCATGATAAGCCAAAATACTCTTATTCACAAAAATATTTCCTTACATTGTATTTATTGCTAATTAGGATTTTAGACTTTGATTTCTTTACTTGTAATAGGACCTATTTGCATTCATAGATTAGGTGGTATTTGGGCTCCAAATCAAGTCTAATTAGAGAAGCATACTATCATCAAGTTAGGAGCAAGGAGACTTCATTGCAAGCCCAAAAATCATACCTCATTTCAGCAAATCAAAGGAGAGTTAAGAGACTTCAATCTACACCCAAAAAGGAGCTCCAATTCGTGGGCAAGGAAGCACTATCGAGATATTTTAGGAAGTTTTAGATTTTATTCTTATTGGTATTTGGGCTCCAAATCAAGTCCAATTAGGGAAGCATACTATCATCAAGTTAGGAGCAAGGAGACTTCATTGCAAGCCCAAAAATCATACCTCATTTCAGCAAATCAAAGGAGAGTTAAGAGGCTTCAATCTACGCCCAAAAAGGAGCTCCAATTCGTGGGCAATGAAGCACTGTCGAGATATTTTAGGAAGTTTTAGATTTTATTCTTATTGGTTTTAATTTTTTATATTGGTTATATCTTGGTTTCATTACTAGCACATCAATCCCACAATCTCAGGATTTGTTTCCTAAAATAGGTTGTACTTGTTTCCTAATTTACCCGATCAGTCTACGTATTTATATCAAATTATGTAACAAGACAGAACAAGAGTGAAATTATTTTCTTCTAAACTTGAGAAGCGCAAAAAATAAGCATGGATTGTATGACTTGAAGAAGGCAAAGAAAGCATGATAAGGCATGGAGCACATGTCCATATTTGGTGCCTATCATGAGAAGAAACTAGAAGCTATTTTTAATTTTAAAATTCAAATTTCGCTCACTTTTTCCTTTGAATTTTCAGCATATAAGACTATAAATAGCCTCCACTTCATTTTGTAAAATTACTTTGGCATATATGAAAATTTGAGTTTGAGAGAAACACTTGTGAGAGTGATTCTTAATTTTTTGGAGTCTTATCTTGGTTCCTAGGAGTTAAGTGACGATTCATCACCCACTCATCTTGAAGATGAATTTCTTGAAGTGGTGTGACATCTCTTTCATTTCTTAAGTCTTCCATCCTTTACTATTTCTATTTCTATTATCTACTTGTGTTGTTTTGTTCTCTTTATCTTGCACCTCTTCTATCTTTATTCTTATCAATTGTTTTTCTTGTTCTTCATTTGTTTCATCATAAGCTTTCGCATAAACTTAATCCATATCCAGCGGTGAAAATCTTCACATGGATTAAGTTTGTGCCCAATGACAAGTGATGAGATTCTAATAAAAATAATCATTAAAGAAATTAAACCATAAAAGTTGCTTATAAACAAATTAAGTTTCCATTGTTATTTTGGACTCTATCACAACATATCGGTTGAAGATCTCACATCAACTAGTGATATAACCAACTTATATATAATTGAGGTGTAAATCTCACCTTATATGCCGATTTTGGGTTAAGTTCTTATCCATTTCATAATATGGTATAAGAGCCTAACCTAACAAAATTTGTTGGCCTATTACTCCACCAACTGATATTGAATCACCCTTAATATTCAATTTCATGCTCTTGATTCCCAGCGTGAGTGGGCATATTGGAGATATGACCAACATATAATCTCACCTTTCAAGCCAATTCTATAGAGTGAAGTTAGACATCTCTCTATTTCATAATAATGTCCATTTAGATTCTTAATGAGTGTTTTCTTCATGTGGAATGCCTTGCACCACCTCCTCCAATTCTTCCCAAAATTTTCTTTGAAGATTGCTTCCAATTCTACTTGTTACATCCAAGCACAATAGTATTAATAGTTTCACATGCAACCACTATTTTACACATAAAATTGTATTCCTTGTTCATTTTACATCCATCATAGTCTCCTTCCAATCTTTAAGCATAATAATGCCCACATCATTCTTTCCTCTAAACCTTTTCTATGTACCTAAGTTTAAGTCTCATAATGTCTAAGCTTTTTCCTCTAACCCATCTAGTTGTTCGAAACCAGAGTTGATTCTATACTTCTGGAAAATGGAAATCTTGTGTAGATGAAAACTAGACAAATTTCACATCTTAAGCAAAGAATCTTTCCATATGAAGAAATTATGATAAATGTACAAAAATTTGCCTAACACTACCTTGAAATTCCATTTTTAATGCATGTTGGAGTGACAATGTTTGTCACAACAGGTCTACCAATCGTGAGGGTCCCTGTTTTGTCAAACACAACAGTGTTTACCATTGCAAACTTCTCTAGAATATTTCCACCACGTACAAGTAATCCTCTTTTAGCCCCCAAAGAAGTTCCAACCTTTTATACACAAAGTTGTACAATATGGCTTAGCTCAAACATAATTATAAGTAAGGTGATATAGGTGTAGTCATTCATGGAGATGTTACCAGCACTGCAGTAGGTGTGGCTAACCCAAGTGCACATGGACAAGCAACAACCTGCACCAATAAACAGTATTCAAGGCTTTAAATAAGAAAGTGAAAGAACAGCAGGTGTGTATCAAATTTAATTTTTGTTTTCCAAAGCCCTAAATATAAAGAATCAGTTACTTGGAATAAGATAGTATTTGGCTGTACCTTTTCTTTTTCTTTTTTATTTTAAATGTTACTTTATAGTTTAAGTTTAAAAGCAATACTTTCAAAAGTAAAGCTAAAACTGTTTGGGATTTTATGTTTTTATAGCTTAACTTAAACTTCTACCACAAATAATTTCATCAAACACTTGGCATGCACTACGAAACTCATCCAAGAGTGCAGATTGATCTATATCTCTGACATCGCCTGCACTCCAAACCTAGTTGCTCTCTACCTCAATCTCTGACATGCTAGCCACTTTCATGCCAAAAATGGTCGATCCACTAAACTACGGGACAGTTTCTTTATCCTCTCCCTTCTTTCATTAATAAAAGCGAAGAAAGCAATACAGTTGGTATTTCAACAGGAGTAGTAACTTGCTTTTCAAGCTTTGCTGACTAGACTATATATTTAACTAACTGATAGCTCGGTATAGCCGACTTTAGTTAGTAAGTCATACATTTACTAACTAGGCTATATGTTTAACTAACCAACAGCTCAGCATAACTGACTTCAGTTATTAAGTTGCGACAAATGCTAACTAGGCACCTACAACACTAGGTGCTTCAACAACCATCATAGGATATATTCTATGAAAAAGAAAGCAAACAAACACAGAAAGAATACGAGATACCTAAAACATTTTGCTAAAATTGATAACACCAAAAGGATTGAAAATTATGGCAAACACTTTGCAATGTTGAAGAAAATAACGGATGTCTCACTGAGGAGTAGAACCTCTCGGAATAGAGGAACATAAACTCCTCCAAATCAGCTTTTTGCGAAGCTCCTTTCATTTTTTAGAGCTTCTTAAAATTGTGTTGACCAGCCGTTCCTTTCAAGGAGAAGAAAACCCAAAAAAAGGTGACCCAAATGCAATCTAAGAGTTAATTTTGTTCCTATGATAACAAAACATGAAGCGCTAGTGTGAAATCTGAATATAATCTTTATTTTTTTTATGTTATTCTGTGCAATACATTGCTTCCGATCTAAAATACAGTAGGTACAAAACCGGAAAAAACCCCAGACCAAGTAAAGAATCCCTCAAGAAAAGAAACTATGCAAAGACTTATTTTTCATTATGAGTTAGAAAGATGAATTATCAGTTCCACTACGCACCCACAGAAGGGATAACCCATCCTAAACCCATTTTACCATCTAATAGCAATAAAATAATGATGTTTAGGTTGGAACTATATATTTTAGCTGGCTTGACCCATCAGGCAAGACTGCTCCGAGCAAACACATTTTCTGGCTGAGCTGTCCTAATTAAGTTGCGGCGGGCTAACAATCTGCTACCCCAGCCAAGACTTTGTGAGAAGCGACAATGTCATAACCACAATCTAATAATTAACAGGTATATAAACATCTATATAAAAATAACTTTATATCATAATCCAACATTTTATGCTCCTGCATTAGCAACATATTATGTTTCAATATTTGATATTTATCATATAATATATATAACTTGAAGGATATCAGAAACGTCTTCTACCCTTAATCCTTTTTGTTAATTCTTTTTAACATGGAGATCTAAACTAATATAAAAAAGATTAGTCCAAATAAATAAGGGTTCATATACAATTATAAAAACAAAGAAAATATGGCTCTGCCCATTATGGGCCAGCCAATTGTCAGGCTGGGCCAAATTAATATTGGGCTTGAAATTTTAGAACCCAACTCACCTACATAGGTCTATTGAGGTTATCCTTCGCCTATTTGTTGGATATTGGGTTTTTGTTAGAGGTGTTAGACGTCATTGAGGACATCATGAAATCATAACGTGCTCTGTATTTGTCGTATACTATTCTGTACACTCTATTTATCCCTATTTAAAACAAAGCAAAGATACAAAAAATAAACAATGCTGCTAATCAGCCAAAAAATTCCTCAACAAAATAGAATAAATAAGGAATAACGGATTCTTTTCTAATCATTACCCCTTACTCGATTCTAATCAGAAAACATGACAAACATGCTAAACATATTTACAACAGTGTTTCTCAGACAGGAGAAAGTTCCAGCATGAAAGGAAAACTCTTTAACTTCGTTATTTACTTCTTAAGCTATTGCAATTGCAATTGTTTTTTCTTTTAAGTGTTCCCAAACAAAACTGGCATGCTTCATTCAGAAAACAAAATATGGAATAGTAGTATATGCATAGACAATAAAGGACAGTAAAGGAAGCATGCATAAGGAGGTAAGGAGTTAAGAATACACACACATATAGAATTAATAATATTGTTTCTAATACTGTGACATAAAATATTTTAGTTTAAATGGTCAAGTAATCAACCGAGAATAACACAACAGAGTTTATAATTCTAATTTCCTAAAATCATTAAGATGAAGGCACCTAGTGCCTCAACATTCATCATACGCAATGGGATATCTATGGCCCATGGAAAACATTTGAAAAAATACCAGAACACTGCAAGCAAGCTGCAGAGCCAGTGAAACTGAACTTCCTTGATATAAACCAGTAGGCAAAATGTGGGTGCCGTACAGACTCCAGAATGTGAATGTGGCAGCAGAGGCTGCCATCACTCCATAAGTGAAGTGTCCAGCCACCTGGATATAAACAAAAAAATGTTACTCAATTGAGTAAAAGATGCAAGAGTAATGCTCAGTTCATTAATGCAGGAGAACAAAGGAAGACAAAGAAATAAGAACATTTCAACCACAATGACGGATGTTTGACTAGATTATTTTGTTCAGATAACTTGTTGAGATATGTTAACCTATCTTGACTAAAATGCTGTTTCTGGTATTAGCTACTGGCACCTAAATGTAGCCTTTAGTCCCTACACTCTTTTTAGTTATGCATACTTTCTCCTATAAATAAATGAATAAGCTAAGAGATAACAAATCTCTTAAGCTCTTTTTCCTCATATTCTATTCTCAATTTAGTACCAGGGCGGAATGGTCTGCTCTGTTTGTTCTGTTCGGTGAATTTGTGGTTGTCTGCCACTATCCACCACCCTGATGTAGTCTATTGCCGGCCATCTTCTGTTTTTTCTCCAATGAACAACAGGTTTGGTTCAGGAAATCACGTGAATCCTCTACAGTCTGCCACCGTTGGCTGCTGTTTGTCATCATCATTTGTTCTGACAAGCTCTGGATCTGGTGCGCTCACAGTGTGACAGCCAACCTGCCCAGTTGCTGGCCCTGAATCCTCTCCATGCACCATCTGCGGTTTCTTTGAACACATTGTCCAAATATGTTCAGCTTAAAAGTATTTTCAAGCCTATATTATAAAATTACCGAACAGCTATACCTTAGCTATGATGCTTTATAAAAGTCTGGCCAAATGCTACCTAAACCAATTTAAAAGAGTGTCATGTCTCCACCAGTTTCCAGAGCCAAATACATAGTCGCCACCAAAGATAAATTTAAACAAAAGAGTGTTAGAGAAGATGTCAAGGAAAGGGATTAGTATTGTCACAAATCCCATACCTGTATCAAGGTAAAACAAGGTCTGGATGACAAGCTGACAATGGAGTACCGAATAAATGGTAAAAGACAGTTGTTATGGGGAGCAACAAACAGTGGAGTAAAGATAACTAAGCCTCAGAATTTTGATGGAGCCATGGCTAATGGAGTTCACATCTCCGTATTACAGTTATGTGGGGAAGAGGAGCAAATGTTGCATTCGCTCACCACACACGCTTGTCCAACAGTAGTGCCACCAGAAATCAATCAACTCCTTCATCAGTTTAAAGATGTTTTCGAGGAACCCAATGAGCTGCCTCCCTTCCGTGAGGGATTTGACCATAAAATACCATTAATCCAGGGAGCGAATCCAGTCAATAAAAGACCATACAGGTATGCCAAGAGCCAAAAAGATATTATAGACAATTTAATCCAAGATTATTTGAAGAAAGGAGAGAAGGATGGGACTTGGAGATTATGTGTTGATTATAGTGAACTAAATAAGAATATGGTGAAGGATAAATTTCCATTCCATTGGTAGACGGTCTTATTGATGAGCTTTATGGGTCTTCCAGATTTTCTAAAATAGATATTCAAGCGGGATATAACCAAGTGCGTGTGAATCCTCCTACCTCCTAATGTGCATAAGACAGTCTTTCGTACTCACGAAGGTCATTATGAATATATTGTGATGTCATTTGGTCTCATAAATGCCCCAACCACGGGGTTGATGAATGAGGTGTTCAAGAAATTCTTTAGGCAATTTTTGTTAGCATTCTTTGATGATATTTTGGTTTATAGCAAATCTATGGAGGAGCATGTGAACCACCTGGGACAAGTTTTATCCACCTTGCGGGAAGATTCCTTGTTTGCCAAAAGACGTAAACGTAAGTGTTACTTTGTTGTCTAGCGGGTAGAGTATTTCGATCATTTCATTTCTGGCGTGGCAAGTGATATTTGTGGTGGTGGATAGGTTAAGTAAGGCAACTCATTTTATGACTCTATCACATCCTTACTCTGCCATTGATGTTGCTCATGTATACTTAGATAACATGTTCAAGCTCCATGGCTTCCCTAATTCCATAACTAGTGACCGTCACTCTATCTTTATCAATCAATTTTGGCAGGAGTTTATGGCATTGCAAGGAGTTCAAGCTCAGCGATCGTTTAACTACCACCCTCATACTAACGGACAAACTGAGGTGGTTAACAGGTGTCTTGAAACATATCTCAAATGCATGTGTGCTGATGTGCCACACCAGTGGTCAAAGTGGCTCCCTCTAGCTGAGTGGTAGTACAACACTACCTATAATACAACTACTATGGCAACCCCATACGAAATTGTGTATGGCCAGCCAGCACTAGTACATCTACCTTACTTGCCAGGAGAATCCAAAATTGAAGTGATAGATCAAAGCCTTGCTAAGAGGGAAGAGATGACGAGGCTTATAAAATTCCACTTAAGAAGATCCAAGAAAGGATGAAACAAATGACAAACCTACATAGGAGTGACTGACATTTGAAATTGGAGATGATGTTTATGTCAAGTTTTGTCCCTATTGTTAGGTCTCAGTTGAATTTAGAAAGAATGCAAAACTTAGCCCGAAATTTTATGGCCCATTTAAAGTGCTGGATCATATTGGTACAGTGGCTTACTAGCTAAGCTTACGAGTCCATAGCAAGGTTCATAATGTTTTCCATGTTTCTCAACTCAGGAAACATGTGGGATAGTTGATAACCACTACTGACTTACCATATTAGCAAGAGGATGCATTCACTGAGAAAGAACCCAAGTCAATTTTAGATAGAATGATGGTAAGGAGGAAGTGGATGCCCATAATGGAAGTTAGTGAAGTGGAAGTACCACCTGCCAGAAGATTCGACCTGGGAGTACTACTACAATTTGAAGAACACAAGACAAGAATTTTGTAAAGGCACGGGAATTGTTATGATAATAAAAGTTGGTTAGCCGTTATGAGTAGAGTCAGAAGACAACTATATAAAGCTGACAATAACAGTGTATCGGGCACGCTTTTATTCACGCTTTTATTCAATACATATTACTGTACACTTTTCTTCTAATAAGTTTCACTCGGAATTCTGTTCTCAACTCCCTACCCTTTCGTGTTCCATTATGTAACAAGTCCTACATCGGGGAAGTCTCCTTACCAGGGAGGCCTTATAAGGTGAGAGGTTCTCCAATTTCTTGAGCTAGCTTTTGAGGGATGGTTCCCCTTTTTAGCCTTATGATTGTTACATTGGTGCTTTCATTGAGAGTCAGCCAACTAGAGTAGGGCTACCCACGGAGGGTTTTGACCGGTAAAAGGTCGAGTGAAGTACCGGTGAGTGAAGTACCGGTGAGTGAAGTACCGAGAAGTGCAGTCATTGAGAACGCTGGCTTTCGAAGGGGGTGGTATTGTAACAAGTCCCACATCGGGGAGGTCTCCTTACCAGGGAGGCCTTATAAGGTGGGAGGTTCTCCAACCTCTTGAGCTAGCTTTTGAGGGATGGTTCCCCTCCTTAGCCTTATGATTGTTACACATTACACCTAGTTACGCAATTCTTAACATACATCTTCTTAAAGATCAAGAATTATACTAACCAAAAAAGCCAATACCATAATAACTTTAGAGGCATAGTTTTAAAAACTGGACTAGACTGGCCAGTGGATTAGGAAACAGTCAAGTCACCCCCATACAACCCAAAAAATGAGTGGAGCAAAGTATAGGATCAAGAGTCAGTCAAACCCAAGTAAAAATTAGTACTAGGTGATATACTTTTCTTTTAAAAAAAGGGTGATGATTTTCCCTTTTTTAAGAAAAATAATTCAAAAATAAATCAAGGCTTATTTATATATGAAATGTACATATGGGTTACTATTACTCAGATATTCATTATACTTTTATCTCGTAAAACATATCAAGTGATTTAAATTAAAGTTAATATTCTTATAATTTACATTAGTTTGTTATTTAGTATATACTATTAAAGATATATATTTAATTATTATTGGTTGAACTCTGGTTCAACTCCAGTTTCAATGGGAGTTTAGCAATTGAACTGTAAATCAATGTCTTCACCAGTCCAATTTTAAAAGCTTTGCTGGGAGCCATAAAACATAAACATTCTCTTTCCCCCTCAAGGATGCATTTACTCCCCTAGTAAGGTCAACTACAACAACTCCATCCCTCAAAAAAAAAAAAAAAACAAATCTACTGACTTCAAGCTTTTTACATCTTATTTATCAAGACTGGATATTCTTCCAACCCAGAAGAAAGAATCAACTATAATGCTACATCTGTATGTGTGTCACTATTTGCAGAAACTAACTTTAGCAACTAGCCAGACAGCTAGATGTTGAAACAAAACAAAACTTGCTATAAAACTCTAAAAGATTCAGTAGAACCTTGTCAGCCAACCGTTGTACAGGAGCTTCCCTACTTTGTGCCTCTTCAACTAGACGAACAATGTTTGCCATAGAAGTTTCGCCACCTGGTCTTTGCACTTCCATTGTAAGAGTTCCATTAAGATTTATACTTCCAGCTGCTACCTCACTCTACAGAAATAAAACTCATCAATCAGTTACTAAAATCAACTGTCCAGTACTGCCATGGCTACAGAAATGTGAACTGGTCAATCATATATATATATATATATATATATATATATATATATATATATATACACACACAAAATCAAGTCTGCTGATCATCAATCAACAACCAAATGGTTTTCCTGTTTTTTTGATAAATTGCACTTAACGCACTGATAATAAATGATCACATGATGGAAACTGAGTTCGGGGCAATTATGACAGTTATCAATAGATAATAACTGCTCTTGAAAATAGTTTTATATTAGAAGTTCTAGGATTATGAGTACAAAATACCTGGTTGTAAACTGCAAGATGACAGTTATTTGTAGAAAATAACTGCTGGTAGTTATGTATTTGGAGTATATATGTTAGGACTAAAGCACAAGAGGAGGGTCCAACCAAAAAGACTAGCCTATTAGGTAGGAGAATCACTAGGATTAAGTATTTACATTAAGTAGTTTGTCCTACTGAATGTGGAATTTCTAACATTGCCACTCCCTTTACGGGTCAATGTACATGATGGTTTCACTCTATTGACATTGACTCAGTGGTAGTCCTTTTAAGGGTTAATGTCCATGGCAACTTCACTCTATTGACATGAACTCAACGGTAGTCCTTTTCTCTCTGACAACTTCATTCATCTATCAGTATTTGGTTTACACCTCTATAGCCTTTTCCATAGCCCAACTCTCAACAAAAGCACCAATTGTTAGAATTTAATAACTAGTCCATTAGGTGAAAGAACCTCTAAGTAGAACTGGTAAAATAGGCATGAGCCGAGTAGTCCATAAAATGGATTGGGCCAGGCTAAAAAAATATTTGCCGAAATTGAACAAGACAAATTTTGGCCTCCCTCATTTAGTCTAGACCAACCCAATCAGTAAGTTTATGGGTTGACTCATTTAAAAATAATCATTATAATTAAAAAATATTGAAAACAATATTGTTTAATTGAAATATATACATGTGTTAGAATTTATATATCAAATAATTATATCTACAAATTTTTAAAAAATAAGATTTTATTAATTTTTAAATCTAGAATTATTTTTTTATTGTTTTTTAAATCATGCTAAAACCGAGGACAATATATAGGACTGAGTTAGGCCAATTTTTTTTGGCTCATTTAGAATGTGTGTCTAAATCACCCATTTTTCCATTTTTACCTCTAGGCTTAAGTACCACCATCAAGTAGCTTATTCTACTCAACGGATGACTCCTAATAACATATTTGATAGAAGGCTGTGTAAAAATTATATGTAATTTGAGAACAGAGAATACACTGATTGGAGACTTTTGTCAGTGGGACAGAGAGTATTGTTGTATTGTATGTGACAGGAGACTTTTGCCTCTGGGACGACGAGTGTGTTGCTTAGTGTGTGTGATTATAGTGTTTTATATTATATTTTATTACTTCATCAATTGGTATTCTATCATCACAACATTCATAGGTGCTCAAAGGAACCAATAAAGCTACAATATGTGTCAAAAGCCAAATAAATCTAAAATTATCATAAAATATGTCAAGACAGAATGTACCCCAGGTACTTTTGTTACAGGTAGTGGTTCACCAGTGAAACTTGATTCATCAATAGTGCTTCTACCAGCTCTCACAACTCCATCAGCCGGAATTCGGTCCTAGAGAAAAGGATATATGGGTTAAAAGGGAAAGCTACACAACTGTGAGAAGTATTTTATGCATATTACTAGTCAAAATCTAAGCAGAATGAATTCAAACTTCAAAATGCTATCAACAATGATTCTGTAGCACAAGCATCATCATAGATGACAAATTTGAATCCCCCTTCCTTCCCATCTAGTGGACAACATGCTTATCGCTATTACCAGATCTCTTTTTCAATTGTTCACTTGATACTTTTAGAACCCAAAATTAAACTACTAAAAACATCCATATGGAGAGAATACACAACACAACACAACTGAGACTACTTCGGGTGTTAGAAAAGGGGTGAAGGAGCTAAGGGTTGTATCCGATAATATGTGGATTCTGATATTACTCACTCCAGGCAACACAATAATTTGGTCTCCAACCGAAAGACTGTCAGAAGGAACTTCAACAACCGAGCCAGGCTCTGTTTCCCCATTGTTAACTAGAAGGCGAGCTTTTGGTGGCAATAAACTAAGAAGTCCTGTCATATCACTGGTTGCTTTGAGTTTAGCTCTCTGTTCAAGATTCCTACCTAACAAGACAAATGCAATTAGCATAATTGGCTCCTCAAAGAAAGCCTTCCATCCCTGCATAAACATTAAAAAATATCATTTAACACTATTAAATTTATATTTACACGTACAATCACAAATCCAATTGCATAATTCACAAAATAAAACATACTTTCTAGCTTCTGGTTGATATATACAAGAAAGCAAATGTTGAGTACAAGTTATTCTTTTTCCTACATCAGAATAAGATGGATAGAACAACTATTCAACAATAGTAGAGAAATAAGAATCAGCCATCATTTAGTCTTCATTCAAAATAAAAAAGACAGAAAAACTTGTAGCATTGTAATGTAAATGAGATGTAGGCATAGGCTAAAATCAAACGACTCTATTACCATGAACATGGAATACTGAGGAACGAGTATGCTATTATTTCTTTAATAATAGCTAACACACAGTTCGTTGGATCAATGTAATTGACTCTATCTACGTACTTGTGCATGAGCAATGCATACATGAAAGTGTGGGAACCAAAATGTGTAACTCGTGTGTCAATGATTTGATTAAAGCCCAATCCAGAAAAAAAATCCTAGAAGAGAATTACATATTATAATCTGTGAGCTACTATTGATTTGCGATATTGCAAACTACAGCGACATTAATAATGAATTTGACATAACTGTACAAGCCATAACTAAATGACAGTCAACAACAAAGGAAATTTGAGTATTTCTATTTTCACTAATTATTTGAAGTTAGTCCCGTTACTAAATGTCACCAACAAACAACTAATTAAATCAAAATTACAGATTAGAGATAACAAAATTCAAAAAGACATTTTACCAATTTTGGCAATAAGGCAGCAAATGAACTGACTGTAAATGACGATAAAGCCCCAAGACCAACTAAGGTGTTCATGTTTGGTGTCCGTTTAAGAAGGCTTTTTAAGCCATCAAGGATTAGTTGGCGGCCAGGACCAAGCAATGTAAACAAAGATATGGATAGATGAAACCCAATGGAATGAAATACATGGACCCATGGTGCCTTTGCTGCAAAGAAATGAGAGAAATGGCCAACTAGACAAGCAGCACATAGAGCCAACGAAACAGCTAGCTCACGACCTTTAAACAACATATGAAAAAAAGGAACATTAGTCTCAGAAGTCACAGCAAATGAATCATCAGAGAACCACTCAGAAATATCATAAGTATTAAGTAGGCTCTTGTTGCAACATTTAACGTAGAAAGATTTAATTAGTGCTTACCACTTTCTCTTAATTGTCTTTGTCTTTCCTCCATCTTCCTTTCAAAAATTTGGAGGAAATTGTCTCTTGTAGAATCTGCACTTTCAGGAACGAAATAGCCAACAGTCAGAACATCAGTGAAGAAAGCAATTGTTGTTTAAACTACATACAAGCCTTACGCATCAACTTAAAAAAAGGATTTAATCACTCTGACATTATAGTTTGAGCCAAGATAAAATTTATAAATGACTAGAATCTGATTGCTACAACTATTCCCCAAAAATGTTACAAAATTACCATTAAGTAATTGTTGATAAAAATAATTTAGGAACATTACCACTCATGTGGTTAGTGATTAATAAGCATTCACTCCTGACCTCACCTGATTAATCACTGAGTGGTTAGTTATTCCTTGACTAGTATTAAATCTGTCAAGAAATATGATTCATCACTAAAGAACATTGAGCTAAATTTACTGTACTAAGATCATCACAGTAAACAACAGCGAGTGAGATGTGGAATGTCAATTTCAATTAGCAGACTTTGAATCTATAAAAGATAAAAAGTAAAGAGTAGCAGAGGCAAGGCTCCTATATTTAGCTTTTGGACCATGCTAAAACAGTCTGTTTTCTTGACCACCAAAATATGATTGCAGCACTGGAAGTTGATCATCTATCATAATGATCAACAGGCCAATCAACATCACAAAAACCAATGATAGACAAAAGCTGAAGACTTATAGGAGGAACCATACATAAGCCATACTATAGAGTACCTTTAAGATATCTTAAAATACTTTTAACAACATCCTAATGTGATTCCAAAAGAGTAAACATAAACTGACACACTTTGTTGACAGAAAAACATATCTCTGGTCTAGTGATACTTACATACTGAAGAGCACCAATAACAGACCTATAAAAGGTCGGGTCAGGGAGAAAATCTACCCCCTGTTTTGAGAGTTTAGAACCAGAGACCGTATGAGAAGATATAGGCTCAAGCATATTTGAAAATAAAGTTCCTTATTCCATTCCATTTCCAAATGAACCCTTGCTTCATATTTCTCCCCAAGTTTTTGTATGTGCATGTTTTGTTCACGATGTCTTTAGGGTTTGGATAAACTCTTATCCAAAGCCATAAACGTGTATTCTTGAGATATTCTCGCCTTCAGAAAGGATGTTGATATTATTCTCTTGAAACCAAGAGGTACAAATGTTACCTTTTTTAGACAAACTCCTTTCTTCTCTCCTTTGACATAAAATGTTCATTTTGTCTGGCAAGTCTTACATATGCCACTAGTTGAATCCTTTGTTTCTCCTACTTCTGACAATTCAAAATCCTAACATGAGTCCACCTAAACCATTATCACCACCTCTTATTACCTACCATCGTAGGTCACAAATGACCAATCCAATGCTCTAAGGTGAGTCTTCTTCATTAAGTCCTTCTAAATCATCACTACCATGACTCCTAATAATGAGATCCAAGCTACCCCCTTACTATTCACAAAGGTATTCAGTCCACATCTTATTTTTGTTTTATTTCATATATTTATTCTATTTCAATTCTTAAAAATGTGAATGAAACGCTTTAATCCTGGATGACAACAAACCATGATTACTGAATGCAAGACTTTTGAACATAATAGCTCAAGGGAGTTAGTCCCTCTTCTACTTGGGAAGGAGACAGTTCGTTGTTGGTAGGTTTTTACCATTAAAGTTTGACTCAACGTTGAAGTTGATTGCCTTATAGCTAGATTGGTAGCCAAAGGGTATATTTAGATCTATGTTTTTTATTATAGTGATACTTTCTTTCTATTGGTCAAATGATTATTGTCTGCCTCTTCTATGTAATGACAATTTTTCTTCATTGGTCACTTCATCAATTGAATATTAAAAATGTCTTTCTTCATGGTGCTTTAGAGGAAGAAATCTACAAGGAGCAACCTCTTAGGGGGAATCTAGATTGGTTTGTAAATTGTGTTGCTCTCTATGGTCTCCAACAATTTCCACATACTTAGTTTAGAAAATTTAGTCACATTGTTCAAACATTTGGGTTGAAATGTAGCAAGGCATATCATTTGGTTTTTAACTATCATACCTCCTTTAGAAAATGTGTTTACTTAATTGTGTACTTTGGATAATGTGTTTACTTAATTGTGTATATTGATGACTTTATTATTACAACAAATGATGTTGCTAGAATCTCTCATTTAAACGAATATTTATGCAATCACTTCTAGACCAAAGATTTTGGCTGTCACAAAAACTGTATAAGCATTAAAATGACTATATCAAAGGAAAGAATTATAATTTTTCAAAGGAAATATGTTCAAGATATCTTGATAGAGACAAGTATGTTTGATTGTAAACCAGTAAATAGTTCTATGGACCCTATGGATCCTCTCAAATATTAGGATAGAATTGAATACTTTTATTGCTAGAATACATTCAGTTATATATACAAGATTGGAAAGCTAAATTAGGAAATACAATAACAACACTTAAATAATTGAATCCTTGTGAATCAGGGATATTCCACCCTTTAATTGTAATCTTCTAAATAAAGAAGTAATAAAATTAGGTTGTTCACATACCCAAATTAGAAATTAATGGTTGAACAAAGTGAATTTTTCTCTGACCCAAAAAAATATAGAAGGATTGTTAAAAAACTTATTTATCTCACAATTACTAAACCTAATTTCTCTTTTGCAGTTGGTATTGTCAATTAATTTATGTAGAATCCTTGTCTTGTTCATATGTTGTCGTCCGTACCTCAAAATGGCTTCAGAACAAGGTTTGGTGTATGATAATGAAGAAAATACCTAGATCTCTAGATATTGTGTTGTTAATTGGACAGAATCTCCTACGAACAAACGCTTCACTACAAGATATTGTGTTCTCATTGAAGGGAATATTATTTTGAGATAAGTAAAAAACAAAATGTAGTTTTTTATCAAGTGTTGAAGTTGAATATAGGGCAATTAACATCTCTTTTTTAACTTGTGTAGGTAAAACAATTTCTCTAAGAACTCAAATTTTGTGAGATTCAATAAATGAAGATATATTGTGATAATCAAGCAACTCTCCACATTGCCTTCAATCTTGTGTTCAATGAGAGAATCAAACACATAGAAACTGACTATCATTTGATTCAAGAAAAATTGTTGACCAAGGAAATTTGTACTAAGTTTGTTAAATCCACTAATTGACTTAAAGATGTATTAATAAAATCTTAAGAGGATCTCGGATATATGCTCCAAGCTTGATACATATGATTTGTATGCTCTAGATTAAGGGGAAGTGTGAGAATGGGTAGAGAATAGGATTTTTAAAAAATTGTTTTGTATTGTACCGATTTGCACCTAGAGGTGCCTTTACTTGATTTACACTCTTTTTTCTCATTGATTGCATCTCTCCTTTTTTTTAATATATAAATAACAGAACCTTAGTGAAAGGATTCAAGTTCTCTAAAACATATTTTCTCTTTTTTTATTTATCTCATGTGAAAATATAGAAATGGACAATATTGAGGTGTATATAGTTTTAAACGAAGCAAGGTATGAATACTCAACTCATAGTTATTGTTCACAGGTAATGAGATAATCATTTTAAAGTATGACTGAAAGAAGAAGGCCCAACTAAAATAGGTATTGCTATTATTTACCGCTTCAATTAATACTTTAATTATTATTTATCCAAGATTCAGAGATACATAGACCAAAGATAGCAAGCTCATTGTATTACAATGAAAGGCCCAACTAAAATAGGTATTACAATTATTTACAGCTTTACTTAATACATGAATTAATATTTATCCCAATACCAGGGACACAGACCAAAAATAACACAGAGTATAACAGTATCTTGGTAAACTTGAAAAAGTAATTTCTATTACCAATAGAAAATATCTAGAAAGCTTAAACCGTTCAATACCAACCAAAAAGCCAAATATGTCAAATAAATTATAATAGTATGCTTCCCTTATGACAAACATTCCAATAATCAAGCAATTTACTATAACAAGTCAAACAGTAACAGACTTGACTTTGAGTAAGTTGACAGACATGTCAAAGGGCATTAATAAGATAGGATATGCATGTGTAAAATATAATATAATTGAATGATGTAAAAGAAGTATAACCAATCATGTAAGTCATTTTTATGAAAAATAAGCAGAGACCAATGTAAAAAGGATGAAAAGTCACTGAGTTATGGTCTTGAACTCAACTTCTAAATCCTGATAGTGGTCCTTCATAGGTAGGTCATTAATAATCAGCAAGTTAAGCCCTCAAGGCTTATATCATGACCTGATTCTAACCTAGAATTGGTGAAATCTCCCATCCCTAAACTTTTTTGAAATAATAAAAAGAAAAAAAAAAAAGTCATCTAGAAAAAATACCTCGGAGGCTAGAATTGTAACCACAGCTAGTTAAATGCTCTGCAAGTGCCTCCCCTAATTGTCTTTGCCAATTTGGTGCATTTTTTGCTTCGGATACAGGCCAAACGATTGCTGTCTCTGTTGTTAAATTTACACTAGCAGATGATACCTGTGGCTACCCAATGTTCATTTTTATAAAAAGTAAAGAAACCGTGTTTAGAGTACTGGAAAACAAAATGTAGAGGATTTATTGACTGTGCCATGATTGCATAAAAACTTCTATACTAAAGCAATCAAAAACACCGTTAGCATTAATTCTAAGGTAGTTATCATAAAAATTAACAAACTTACCATACATTATCATGCATAGAGCTATTTTATCATACATACATATATATTTGAGGAGTGATCAATTGATTCCAAAAGTAGCTTTATGAGTGTTAATCTTCATCCTCACAATTAGCTTCCTTCTATGCTAATGGTTGTATCCAATTTTAAGCATAAGATTACAAGAAAATAAGAGATGATTGTTGGAGTCAATTAAGCGCGTGTGTGTGTATATATATATATATATATATATATATATATATATATATATATATATATATATATATATATATATATATATATATATATATATATATATATATATATGTCTATTAGATTTACTCTTGGAATCAATTGATTGATCCATTTACACCAGGTGTGAGTCTACCAAATCCTGTTAGTTTTATCAATAGACCTGTACCTCGTTCCTGAATAACAAAAGAATTGATATTAAAGGTTTCTAAATAACAATTCAATGATTTGGTCAGTTAGCTTAAAGAAATAAGATTGAAGGGACATGAAGGAACAAAGAGGATAGATTTTTAAGTTTAAAGAAGGGAAAATGAAAAGAGAAGAGAACAAGATAGTACTCGATATATGATCAAAAGCACCTGAGTCAATGATTCATGGATTTTGACAATCCACATATTGTGAAATGCAAACTATTAACAAATTTGGAGTTGTGGATGATTATGCTTGGCGATAGAACTTTAATTTCAAATATTCCTGATATTCTTCATTAGAGAGCTTGGACTCAATTACTTCAGATTTGGAAATATGAGTAGTCTTGTCAGGAAAGTCATGTAAAGAGAAACAATTCTCTTAGCTATGACCCATTCTTTTGCAATATGTGCATTGAGAACGTCCTCTACTATCATGTCATCCTCTAGTGTCTCGACCTCCTATTCTAGAAATTAGGTACAAATATAGATACAGCTCATAGGTATAACTACCTATTTAATATCTAATAAAATCAGCATCTATCTTTACATTTGAATGAAATCAAAATTCAATTTAGTCCAGTAATTAAAATTTTAAGTCACAATCCCAAAGAGTATTTTTCCTATAATTTCTCAGTTGTTTTAAGTTCACATGACATTTTACAACAGTTTACTTATCCTCACACCCCTCAGCAAAATGATATTGCAAAAAGAAAAGAAAAAATAAATACTTGGTTGAGAATGTTTGTACCTTATTGTTTGATGCCAATATATTGGTCCATCATAGGTGTAATGTTTTGTTCATGATTTATCTCCAAGATTAGATAAAATCTCTATACGTGATGCCAAATGAGTCTTTTTAGGCTATTTTCGCCTTCAAAAAGGGTATAAGTATTACTCCTTGAAACCAAAAAGTATATCAGACTCCTTACTTCTCTTCTTCTATTTAAAATGTCCAATTTCATCTAGTAGGTACTCTATCCCATTAGATGAGGCCATTGTTTGTAGTGCCTCTGTCAACCCCAATGCTATTCCAAATCCTCCTGAACCATTTTCACCTCCTCTTCTTACCTACCAATGCTAGACCCAAATGACTAGTCCAATGCTCCAAGGTAAATCCTCTTTTTCTAGTTCTTCTCCATCACAACTCCTAATTTTGAAGATTCAGCATGGCTCATTGCCTTCCAAAAAGATACTTATTCTACTCATGATCCACATGCTATTTATAATTTTTTAGTTATCACAGGTAATCTCTTTCCTATTGTTCTTTTCTATCCTCACTGTCTTCTATTACTGTTCCCAAAATTGTGAATGAAGCACTAGATCATCCTAAATGACGACAAGTCATGATTGCATAAATATAGGCTCTTGAGCAAAATAATACATAGGAATCAGTGCCCCTTCCACCGGAAAAGAACAAGGGGTTGTTAATGGTTTATGCCATTAAAGTTGCCTCTAATGGTAAAGTTGATCATTTCAAGGCATGATTAATTGCCAAAGAATACACTCAGATTTATGACCTTAATTATAGTGATACTTTTTTTCTAGTCACCAAAAATACTATTATACATTTTTTTTTTGTCATGACAGTAATTCGTCATTAGCCACTTCATCAATTAGATATCAAGAATATATTTCTTCATGGAAATCTAGAAGAGGAAGTCTACATGGAGCAACTTCTTGAATTTATTACTCAAAGGGAGTCTGATTTGGTTTGTAAGTTATACCGCTCACTCTATGGTCTCAAGCAATCACCACAACTTGGTTTGCATTGTTCAAACCTTTGGGCTAAAACATAGTGAAGCAGATCATTCACTCTTTTATTGTCATATTTACTACAAGGAATGATGCTTGGTTTGAGAAATTTAGCTACATTGTTCAAACCTTTGGACTAAAACGTAGTGAAGGAGATTATTCAGTCTTTTACTGTCATATCTTTCTCAGTAAATGTGTTTACTTAATAGTATATGTTAATGGTATACTTATTACAAAGAATGATACTACTAGGATATCTCAAATAAAGGTGTTGTAACCTCTCAAAGGAAGTATGCTCTAAACATCCTAAGACAGGTATGATTGACTGTAGACTAGTAGACAGTTCTATAGACCCCAATCAAAAATTAATAACAAAGCAAGGTTAATCATTCTCTATCCAAAAAGATATAGAAGACTCGTTGAGAAACTTATTTATCATGCAATTACTAGACCTGATTTATCTTTCGCAGTTGGTGTTATTAGTTAGTTCATGTAAACTCCTTGTACTAATCATTGGAATGTTATCATTTGTAGCCTAAGATATCTCAAAAAGGCTTCAAGACAAGGTTTGTTGTATGAAGATCAAGACAACACCCAAATCTCTGGGTAGTGTGATGTTGACAGGGCAATATCCCCAATTAACAGACGACTCTACTATGGGATACTATGTTTTCCTCAAAGGAATATTATTTCTTGGAAAAGTGAAAGACAATATGTAGTGACTCGTCAACTGTTAAAGCTAGATATAAGGCAATGGCATCAAGAGCTTAACTTTTATAGATCTAGATAATGAATTTGTATTGTGATAACCAAGTTGCTCTTCACAATGCTTCCATTCAAGTATTCCATGAAAGAAAAACACATTGAAATTGATGAGAAAAGTTGTTGTCAAAGGAAATTTGTACTATCAACTTGGAGATGTGTTAACAAAGTCTTTAAGGGGACATCAAATTGAGTTTATTTGTTCCAGGCTTGGTAGGTACAATTTGTATACTTCAGTTTGAGGGAGAGTGTCAAAATAAGTATCAAATAGAAGTAGAGAGTAGTTGTATTAAAAAGTTGTTTTCATCCTATACCTATGTTGTAGACATGAGTTGTACCTATCTTTGTACCTAGGTTTCTAATTCAGACTTTTGTTTCTATTTTATTTATCTCAAGTACTTCAAATTAAAGAAAAACCACAACATTGATAATATGTTTGTTACTTATTTTATTTTTAAGTGAAATGATATTAACTATTAGACGTGATAAATTTAACGGTTGAAATTTGATGTAAGTTATGTGTAAAGGGATTCTAGCCCATGTAGAAAGATTTCCCTTTAGAGAATATGATAGAACTGTCATAGGGCTTAAATATCCTTTCCTATGCATAATTTTTGTTAAGAAGGAAGAGATTATCGAGGATATGCAACCAATATAGAATGCTAGTTATACTGTTTCAGACAAACTAACTTTTAGAACTTTCTTTTCTTGTAAATAAATACATGTAAAAGTAAGGATTATGAGACACAAATGACTAAACTACTGCATTGTTTGAAACTGTTGAACATGATTTTCCACCTTAAGGTCAATCATCTCCCACGACAGCCACAGACTTACGAAATCAAAACTACCGCATGCTTATGTAAACCTAGCAGAACGCCCCAAACAACAGAACCATTATACTAATCATCTAACAAATAAAATAATGGAAGCATCTAAAGTTTAGATAGTAAACCAATCAACTACAAAATTCAAATACTTACTCGATTTTCCAGTATCCTTTTCACAGTCGCGGCACATCCCCCGCACACCATTCCCTATCACACGTACAAACAAAATTGAAATACTAAAAATAAAAATAACAAAAAATTCTACACAGAGAAAAGAGTTCACACTGAAACATCGAGAATGATAACGTCAGGAGAAAGTGCCGAAAGCTCCTGTGACAAGTCTCCAACCAATTGGAGACCAGCATCACCAGACTCACCGCCAAAACCGCCATCTCCGCTGCCGTCACCAGTTCCACCGCTGCCATTTCCACCACCGGTGGAAGAAGCATAGGAAGTGGCGGAGCTCGAAATGCAGCGCAGTCGGCATGGCGTTCTCGGGAGCAGTACGCGGAAGCAGCGGAGTGAGGACCGCGATGGCGTGGAAGCGAATGAACACGGAATGCGGCAGCGGTTGTTGTAGGAAGCAACTATGCATTTGAGGTTGCGGCGGACGAAGGCGCGTTGAGGAGCTCCAGCAAAATGACGGTGGAGCGCTCTGCAAAGCGCTATATGCGCCGTGGTGGTAACGGAGAAGGCAGAATCCATTGGATTGGGTGGAAAAATAGAGAAGAGAAGAGTCCTCACGCTTTGTAGTTGCCTATCTAATAGTATAGTTGTCCACACTATATTGGGTCTGACTTCACCGCTATGTTATTAAAACACCATTTTGAATTTTTATTATTATTATACTATAGAAGTGTAAAGATAGACGCCTTCATATTTTTATATAATTATTTTAAAAAAATAGATATTATTTTAAATTTTGTTTTATTCTTTTTCATTTTTTAAATATATTTATATTTTTCTTTAATATTTATATTACATAATTCTCTTTCTCATTTTTACTATTTCTTAAAATATTAATTATAAAAATTACTTTTTAAAATTATAATATTTTTTCTGAAAAAAATAATTTATAAAAATCAATTTATATTATATTATATATATATATATATATATATATATATATATATATATATATATACTCTTTGTTCAGAATCATATAAAATAAATGAAGAAAATTGTTAATATAAAGATCTATTTTTCAATTTTACAGAACTTATGTTTATGAGATTCACACTAATAATATTAATAAGAAATTCTTGTAAATAAATTATTAAAGATGTCTTGAATGACATTTTATTGGAATTTTATTATAAAAAAGAAAAAAAGAAAATTAAAATAAATAAGAAATGGATTGCCAAAGAATGAAGAATGATGCAAAGAGAAAAAAATGAAAAGAAAGGAAAAACTTCAACGAGAGAGGGAGAAAGTCACACGCAACTCAGTGAATCTTTTTGAGAATTAGGGGATACTTACTCCAAATTTTGATAATTACCTTTTTAAATTTAAAAATGATTATATATTTATTTGTATATTTATAAATGTAAGTGACAAATAAGATAATTCAAATATCATAAAGATATTATTGGTTGGTATTATCAATAGAAAAAAATATTGATGATGTGTTCATGTGTTATATTGAGAGGAAGTTTGAATCCTAAATCATGGATTCTAATGCATCTTTTCATGTGTCTCTTTATAAGAACTTGATGAAAAATTTTAGAATTGGATATTCGACAAAGTTCACCTAAAAGATGTCAATATTCATAAGGAGGAATCATAAGATAAATATGTAAGTTTTTCTCATTTGAAAGTATTTGGTTGTGTTTTTTATGTTCGTGTTAAATATATTGGCAGGGAAAAGTTTGATCCCAAAGCAAAAAAGTGCATTTTCAATGGCTATGAAGCAAATGATATGGGATATTTCTTATGGGATAATCAAAACAAAAAAATCATTAAAAGTAGAGATGTTACGTTTAATGAGAATGTAATGTATAAAAACAAACTTGAGAAAAAAAAAAGATTAAAAAAAGCCAACAAAGAAGAAAAAGACAGTGTTAGAGAATATTATAGAAGACGAGTTTACAAGCAAAAATAAGAAGAGCTCAAGAGATAGGAATGTTGAGGGGATCACTCTTGTCACCACAATAGTTGAAGTGAGGAGATCCAGTAGAGTTAGTCATGCAGGAGGAGATGAATTCACTTGAGAAAAATAAAACTTGGTATTACAAAATAAATAAATGTTTAGGATTAAGGAAGAACATGATGACAACAAGAGATACAAGACAATGTTAGTGGTGAAAGGCTTTTAGCAAAAAAGAGGTATTGACTATAATGAAATTTTTTCTCATGTAGTTAAAATGATTACCATTAAATTTGTGTTAAGTATTATGGTTACATAGGATTTACATCTAAATCAGTTAGATGTTAAAAGATCGTTCTTACATTGTGACCTTGATGAGAACATTTACATGGTACAATCAGAAGGTTTCCAAGTGGCAAGGAAAGAGAACTTGGTTTACAAGTTGATCAGGAGTTTCTATGGGTTGAAGCAAACACCAAGACAATGGTACTTAAAGTTTGATAGTTTTATGAGTAAGAAAGGATACCAAAAGTGTGTCATAGATCAGGATTGTTACATGAAAAATTTTGGTTCATTCTATATCATATTACTATTGTATGTTGATGACATGTTACTTACATGGTCTAGTATGAATAAAATTAATAGATTAAAGACATGGTTATATGAAAAGTTTAAGATGAAGGATTTGAGTATTGCAAAGTAGATTTTTGGCATCAAAATTGAAGTATATTGAAAAAATATTAGAGAAATTTAGTATACAGGGTACCAAAATTGTAAGTATACCTTTGGAGAGTTCACTTTAATCTCATAAAAGAGGAGTTACCTAAGATAGATGAAGACAAGACAACAATGATTAAGGTTTCTTATGTATTTGCAATTAGTAGTTTATTGTATGTAATAGTATGCACTATACCAGACATTATTCATGTCTAATGTAGGAAGAAGCATTAGGAAACTATCAAGTCGTTGCTACGTAAAGTACTTCTAAAATTGCATTATGTTTCAAAAAAAATAATATCATTTTGGAAGGATATTTTGATTCATATTTGGGAGGTTATTTAGATACAAGGAAGAGTATTACAAGATTGTTTTCACAGTAGATGGCACAACAATTAGCTAAATGTCTTGACTTCATAAATGCGTTGCAATTTTAACCACATAAGCAGAATACATTTATTTCAAAAGCCAGAAAATGATTTGGTTGAAGAATATTCTTAAGGAGCTGGACAAAAAACAGTGTAACAATATTCTTTATAACTAGAGTCAAAATGTCACTCATCTTGTGAAGAATCTTGTTTTTCATGTAAAAATAAAACACATCTAGTAAAGGTATCACTTTATTAAAAAAACTAAAAAGTGATGGTATTTTGTTTTTGAAGAAGATCCTTAGATCAGATAATCTTATAAAAATATTGACCAAGGTGGTTACTATTAAAAAGTCAAAATTTTGTATAACTTCAACTATTTTTCATAATTAATTGTTAAGAAGACATTATATTAATTTGGGGTATTATAACTTTAAGATTTCCTATATTTACTTTAGAGTATAGTTAATATAATCAATCTTCAAATAAAATATTATTAAGTACGTAGAATTTAAAGGATTATCAGATCCGACTTAGTTATTCTTTTATTATAAATAGTCATATACACCTAATTATAAAATTGAGAATTAACAATCATGAAAATATATTTTACCTACTTAAATTTCCTGTATTCTTGTCCTATTCTTGCTATTTACTTTTCGTCATGTAGTGCATTTTTATTCTTCACACTAGGAAACAGACTCCAAAAATGAATCATCAGTCTACTTGGAACACCAACATCATCTGAGGGAAACTCCTCGAAGCATCTTGTAGTGCAACGATGTCATCGCATAAGTGTGGAGGTTGCGACTCCATCACGTTGGCGCAGCGACTACGACATCGTCGTGTGGACGTCGTTGTATGGGTGCAGAAGTTGTAACGCTATCGAGGGGTATGGAAGGTGCGATGCTATTGAGAGGTGTAGTGGTTGGATCGTTGGGTAATATAGGTGGAGCTGTGTAAGCGACCTTGTTGTTGTAATCAATATACTAATAATAATAACTACATTGCAACAGTTATTCTAGTCAGAGTTCTATATAAACATAGAACACTTTCGTATCCGTGCAATTGCGGTCAATAAGAAATTTACATTCTTCTTTCTCTACTCTCAGTATTTGTATGCATTAGATACATTTTCTCACTCTCTGTCTGGTAGTGCTAACAGTGGTATCAAGAGCCACTCTGTTCAAGACGATCAAGTGGGTGTGGTACACTCTTACGAAGAAGAGTGATCTTGAAGCTTTGCTGCGCGTAACGCTTTCATGACTGCTAGAGAGGTGATTGCTGAAAACTTACCCGTATTCGATGGCAAGGGTTATCGGGATTGGTGCGTGAAGATGGACGTCATTCTTGGTTTCCAAGAGGTGGATGATATTGTCAAGAAGGGATTGCAAGAACCATCCAAAAATGCTACAAATGAGGTGAAGAATGCATACAAGGAGAACAGGAGGCTTGACTGCAAACCTCGAATGTTGTTGCACCAATGCATTTCTCCTACTGTTTTCCAAAAGATTTCCACAGCTAGGTCTTCTAAAGAAATATGGGATATCTTGCAAGAAACATATGGCAACTCTGGAAAAACTAGAGAAGTTAAACTGCAATCGTTACAACGACAGTATGAGTTACTGGGTACGATTGATCAAGAATCAATCGCAGATTACATTGGAAGTGTAGACCCTAAATCTTGTCCGGCCTCAAAATAAAGAACAGAAGACCTCCAATTCGAAGATGGACAAGACCTAAAAGGTCCCTAGGATAGACTAATAGGCCCCATATTAGAGTAAGAAGGTTTTTTGTACAAAAAAATAAGGAATTCCACCTAGAAGGCCGAGACCGCCGTCTCCCTTGGTGAGACCGCCGTCTCGTTTGGCGAGACGACTTTCTTGCCATTTGTCAAGGGTGAGACCGCTGTGTCGTTTGGTGAGACGGCCTTCTCGCCATTTGTCAAGGGTGAGACCGCCGTCCCATTTGACGAGACAGCGGTCTCGACCTTGTCAGGCGAGACGGCAGTCTCAACCTTGTCAGGCGAGACGGCGGTCCTGACCTGATAGGCGCGAATCCCTATAAAAGGAGGGCGCAACCCCCTCCTTTTCACAACATTCTTCAACTTTCTCTTCTACAACTTTCTCAAATTCTTCTCCTAGGACCCCTCCGAAGCATTTCCGGAGTTTCTTAGTATTCTTAGAGAGTATTCTATAGCGTTGCGAGGAAGAGCGACCAACATTGTAGAGTGGAGGATTGCCAAAAAGCATCATTTACCAAGAATATTGAGTAATAAAATCTTGCTTCGAAGGTTCCCATACTTTCTCTCTTTCTGTTACCGCTTTTTTCTTTACAACTATCTGTGCATTAACTATTAGGGTCATGTAGTCGATATTTTAAATTTCGCAAATAAATAAAAGGTAAAAGCGTAATTTTAGAGTTTCTATTTATAAAATAAACGGTCCATCATAGGGAACCCGAAAGGGGCATCATATGGAAGCTAATACCTTCCCTACACGTAACTAACTCCCTTACCCAACTCTGGTTATAATGGTCAAAGTTGGTTTTTCAAAACTAACGCATTCTTTTTCCCTTTTCCAATGTTTTCGGATAAAACATTGGTGGCGACTCCAGAACCCTTTTCAAAAACTTCACCTTTAGGTCCAGCCCAGTTATCGGACAACCTAAAGGCATTGTAACTACACTTTTAAAACACGAGACGAAGTCGAAAACCATCGCGTCGTTCCGACCGCCTCTTTTGACGGCGGTGACAGGAAGGTTGCAAATTATAGTTAATTCCATGCGATCTTTAGATGAGCCTGTGAAAAACAGCAAAGTGGTGACTAAAATTCTGCGAACCTTAATGCCTCAATTTGAACACGGGATGCTCTAACCATATGACCAGTAGGAGAGAATGACTCATAGATCTTGACCCAAGTATGAGAAGCAGTGTTAGATTCGCAAACAACAACACAATCACTGCAGAGGGAGTTGGCAAAATCATGATCACTCGAAAGGATGGTAAGATTGCCTACATGAATGATGTGTTGTATGTTCTGAGTATAAAGAACAACTTGTTGAGTTTGGGACAACTACTGGAGAAGGGTTATACTATGTCCATGATTCAAGGTCACATAGAGGTATATGATGGTAAGAAAAAGTTGATTCTTACGATCCCTCTGACACGAAACAAAACTTTCAAAATCAATTTAAGCATCAGTGTCTAGCATCAGTGAATGTTGAAGAAGAAGAATGGCTTTGGCATTATAGATTCGGGCATCTAAACTTCAAAAGTTTAGGACAATTAAGCAACAAGAAACTTGTGAGTGGACTGCCACTAATCCATACCCCGGACAGAACCTGTGAAGGTTGCATCGTTGGCAAACAAACTCGAAAGAAATTTAAGAAATTTGCACCTAAGAGGTCAAAACAACCACTTGATGTGGTATATTCGGATGTGTGTGGCCCCTTTGATGTAATGTCATGTGGAGGCAACAAGTATTTCTCAGTCTTTGTGGATGAATGGACCAGAAAAATATGGCTCTATTTGCTAAGAGAAAAGAAAGAAGTGTTTGGTTGTTTTTTGAAATTTTGTGCATCAGCAGAGAGGCAATCAGGTATGAACTAAAAGTGTTTAGAACTTATGGAGGGGGTGAGTTTAATTCAAGAGAAATTGCAGAGTTTTGTGAATCCAAGAGAATAAATCACGAGGTGATAGCTCCATACACACCCCAACATAATGGAATTGCGGAGAGAAGAAATAGGATGTTGCTTGACATGACTTAGTGTATGATAAAAGCCAAGGGATTACCAAATTATTTCTGGGGAGAGACAATTTCTACAGCTACTTATATACTGAACAGGTGCCCCATGAAAGCTTTGAAGGAATGCACTCCTGAAGAAGCTTGGTCTGGAGAAAAACCAGATGTTCATCACTTCAAGATTTTCGGATCAGTTTGTCATAGGCGCATTCTAGATGAAAAATGAAAGAAGTTGGAGGATAAGAGTGAGACTCTCATTTTGATTGGATATCATCCAACTGGTGCTTATAAATTGTATCATCCAGAGAAGAAACAGATAGTAATTAGTAAAGATGTTGTTGATGAGGCTGCAAAGTGGAGCTGGGAATCAGAAACTACGTCTGCAGAAAAGATACAGGTGCCATATATACTTGAAGATAAAATTATTGTTGTTGCTTCTGATAACAATGGTGAGCATACTAGAAGACCACAAAGACTAAGGTTTCCTTCCACGAGATTGACAGATCATGAGGTGTTGGCTGATAATGAAGTTGATGATAGCGGTGATCTCGTGCATCTAGCTTTTCTGGCTGATGCAGAATCACTAACGTGGCAGCAGGCTATTGATATGAGAGAATGGAAAGAAGCCATGATTGAAGAATTGAAGTCCATAGAAAGAAACAGAACTTGGGAATTAGTAGATTTGTCACATCATAAACATCTTATTGATGTTAAGTGGGTGTTTAAAACCAAGTTTAAACCAGATGGAAGCATAGCAAAGCATAAGGCCAGGATGGTTGCAAAGAGTTTTCTACAAAGATCAGGAATTGATTTCACTGATGTCTTTGCACCAGTTGCAAGACTCGAAACCGTGAGACTGGTGATAGCTATTGCAAGTTGGAAGGATTGGGAAATAAGTCAGCTTGATGTTAAATCAGCTTTCTTAAATGGACCTCTAGAGGAGGAGGTACATGTGAGATAGCCACCAGGATTTGAAAGGAGAGAAGAACACAAGGTGTTCAAACTGCATAAAGCCTTATATGGCTTGAAATAGGCCCCATGTGTCTGGAACAAATGTATTGATGTTTTTCTGATGCAAGCCAGATTCAGCAGATGCACCGTTGAATATGGGGTATATGTGAAATCAGTTTCACACAACAGTCTATTGTTAATCTGCCTGTATGTTGATGATTTGATAGTAACAGGAGATTCACAAATTGAGATTGAGCAATTCAAGCAAAATATGAATTCTGAATTCAAAATGAGTGATATTGGAAGGTTGAATTACTTCCTCGGTCTTGAGTTCAAACACACTTCCAAGGGAATTCTGCTGCACCAGAAAAGATATATCAATGGTATTCTAAGCATATTCAATATGACAAACTGCAATCCTGCTCCGATACCAGTTATTGCTAATTTGAAATTGTATGAGGCATCTGATGAAAGGATGGTTGATGCAACTCTATACAAGCAGCTTGTAGGATCCTTAAGATACATTTGTAACAGCAGACCGGATGTTAGCTATGGAGTTGGTTTGGTTAGTAGATTCATGAATAACCCAAGAACGTCACATCTAGCTGCAACAAAGCATATACTAAGATACTTGAAAGACACAGTAGAATTTGGACTATTTTTTCCTAAGAAAACATATCAGAATGAAGGAGTTATGGAGGTTTGGATTGACTCAGACTGGTGTGGAGATGTAGTGGATCGAAGGAGCACATTTGACTATTTCTTCAAGTATATGCAGACACCTATTTCATGGTGCTCCAAGAAGCAGAAAGTCATGGCACTATCCTCATGTGAGACAGAATATATAGCCTCAGCAGAAGCGGCATACCAATGTTTGTGGCTTGAATCACTTATTGAAGAATTGCAGCTTGAGTGCAAAAAACCAGTGCAGCTATTGGTAGACAATAAGTCTGCTATTAGCTTGTCCAAAAATCCTATGTGCCATGGGAGAAGTAAGCACATAGAGGCAAAGTTCCACTTCCTGAAGGATCAAGTTTGCAAAGGTAGATTGGAACTCATACACTACTCCACAGAAGATCAAGTGACTGATGTGTTCACAAAAGCTTTGAGGCAAAACAGATTTGAAAAACTGAGAGAACTACTGGGTTTAAGATCTATTAGTATATTAGTATTTTTTATTAAGAGGGTGTGTTGTTGTAATCAATATACTAACAACATTAAAAGAGTTATTCTAGCCAGAATTCTATATAAACATAGAACACTTTCATATCCGTGCAGTTGCGGTCAATAAGAAATTTACATTCTTCTTTCTCTACTCTCAATATTTGTATGCATTAGATATCTTTTCTCCCTCTCTGGTAGTGCTTACATACCTAAGTATAATTAGGTTAAATCTCTTCTCCGGCCAAGAATCCTAAATCTTAAAGTCGAATAACCCAACCCAATCCCATCCCATTCACATAAAAATATTTAATACACTAAGAAGGAAACCACAATCAAATTAATAAGAATGTACAACTCTAAAATTTAAATATATAACATATATTAGTTTGATCAATTAAATATATGACATATATATTAATTTCATAGGAAAAATCAAATCAAACCATCACTCTTCGGCACTAAAGCTGGTATACTCCTGTCATTACTTCTTCGAAAATGAACCTCAGCATAACATTAGACGCATGTAAATTCTGCTTTAACAAGCTAATAGATAAATCCCTCGTAAAGATAACAGACAAGTCTGCGCCTATAAAGAAAATGCCAGCACACAAGAGGAAGTAAGAATGAAATGAGTCTTCAAATGGACAATCAATGCTAGCTTCATAGTTTTATTTATGAACTTCTAGTTACACCTTATCAATCATTAAGTTCCCTGCATCACTGTTTCCATTCCATATTTGGGATTTTACCAAACATAATAAATGCATATCAATCCATCATTCTATGTCACTGTCAACTTTCCGGTTGTGGAAGACGTACATAACTATATCGTAATATCATATTAGACATGTTTCTCAGGTGATATTGCATTATAATCATTGGAATATATAGTTTAAATGCTACATCCAACAGTGCCATTGAAGTAAATGATTCTGTACTATGCAAAATATTTGTACTTCTAGGTTTCTAAGAGCACAATGGAGGGGCCATTTCATTTTCGTGGCAGTAAGGACTTAGTGATAACCAAGAGGAGCTGGTGCTTCCCGCAGTTCTTTACCTTGAAAATGGATATCCTGCATGAAAAACATTATTTATTACAAATCAGCCGGGAACAGCAATGCTAAAGCAATGTCCACATGGAGACACATTTGATATGATAATTAAATAGGGTAATTAATAAACCTTTGTTTTAACCAAACTATGTACCATGTCACTTTCTCCTCAGTAACCCAAAACATAGCAGTACTAGATAAAAGGAACATATAGATCAGAACTAGAAATGCTGCCTAAGAAGGTGGTCACAATTTGTATGTCTCAATCCCTCTCAAAGGAAATAATAAAGAACTTCCTAAAATATAACATCTTTAATAAAAACAATTCATTAAAACAATTCTTGTGAATTATTTCGCACGTTATAAAACATAAAGTAAAATCGGTTGTATCATTTCGTACACAACTCTGCAGTTGATTGTGTCCCCATAAATTTTTTTTTTTAAGAAACTTTGAAGAACATATTCTCTTATTTATTTTTTTTATATTCATTTTTTTTAAGTTGGTGAAGCAACTAACAAATTTTCAAGCAACATCTTATATTACTTAAGATTTCCCGATGAAAAATTATTTAAAATAACTAATATTTTATTTAAGTATTTTATTAAACAACTCCGATCTTTAATTAAATTTTCATTGAGCATATCCCACCAAAAAGAAATATTCCCAATGTGCATGAAGTGGATAATGAAATTTATAGGGTTTTTTTTTCTTCTCTGTTAAACCTATTCAATTAGGTATATGACAACAGATTTGTTATCTGGCAGTAATAAATCTCTGCAGCAAAAGCTGCTTACCAAACTCGATCCTCGTATTGAAATTCAAGGCAGGGCCCGTGAGAATATTAGGGGAGGAATGTCCATCTAGTTGTCTACCAGATTATTATTCTTAGTGGATTTTATCTGATATCATTATCATCTTTTCCATAATGTACAATTTCATGATTTGAGCTTCAAGAAAAAAAACTTCATCATAAGTCAGAGAAAAAGATATGGAAATAAAATAAGTATAAAACAATTTTAGTGGATCACTTGTGAAGCTGAAAAAGCAAAAGGATGGTTATGCAAGTGATAAAGAATACTCACAGAAGCAAAATGATTCACATCTCGATGGTGAGCCTCATCAGCACGAATGACTGTTATAACATCTTTCAATTTGGCATCCTTGGGAAGCCTCCAATAGTCTATTGCAATGGCAGGAGCAGGAACATTTTCAATTGCACCACTTTCAAGATCCTTCAAATACTCGGTGTAAGAATGTATAGCCTCCTCCTCAAGATACCCAACTATTCTATGAGCCACCTTCGGCGAGAGTATGTAAAGTACGAAAAACGCATTGAAAAAAACTCCCTGCACAGCAAGAACCAGCAGTCTTTCGTACCATTTCGGCTTCACAAGTTCCACCATAGTCATAAGGTGCATTCTCTCATTCTCTGCTTCCTCCAGCAATGCTTTGATCCAACCACCACTTTGCTGAAACTTACGGAGTGACCTAAGGTGCAACAACATCCCTCCTACCATGCCAGGGACAGCTGCAACCGTTTCCAGCATCATTGCGCGGCAACCATACCGTCTCTGAAAATATGTATGGAAATGATGAATGAGAATGGACACACCATGACCGAGGAGAATATGAATACCTTGTAAAAAAATTCTACGAAGCAGCAGCATGTAGTCCTTATAAAAACATAAATTAAAAAAGTACTTAACATAAGACATTCATGGTTCATCCTTCCATGAATAATCGGAAAATGAAGCTATCCATTTACATCTAATTCACAGCCAAAACAAAAGCACACAAGTACTAAACACCTTTATCAGGTTCTAATGATGCAATTTTTATCATCTAATCAAGTGTGAGTTAAACAGCTCAAAATAAACTTAACAGATCAACTTGACTAACGAACATATAATTTTAGCAACCAATAAATATTTCCTTCTTTTTCCTTTTGTTATGGATCAAAATATAGGAAATTTCAAGATTGAGTGAAATTTTGCTAATTACAAACCTGAAAAAATAAATCTGTTGGAATTCTGAGGAGCTTCACCGTCCTGTAAGCAACTTTATCCAGAAAATTCTTTGGCACGTGATGTTTAGTAAGATCTATGGACAGGTTTGAATGATACGACTCCCACGGCTACACCGAGAAGTGAAATCACAAGTCAGTAAGCATTCAAAGAAAATCAAAGCCCCATCATTTAATAATAAGTAGATTACGTATATCTCTCAAAATATTAAAATTTAAATTTAAAGAAATACATAAAAACGTAATTTCTCTGACACTTCAATTAGGTTCTCAGATTAAATGTGCTTAAGTTCAGAGACAAAACTATTGTAAATAGTGAAGACCCAAAATAACAAAAAAGTATGTCACGTTGGCGAAATTTTAACAGCAGACTAACTAGATAAATAAATTACACAAGTGACTTTCCTAATTTTAATACATGAGAATGAATTCAATTTGGAGTGGCTCTTTACCAATACAGTACAATAAATAATAAAATATTCCAACAATTGATTCATGAACATAAAACAAACGAAAATCTACTCTCAGGAGTCCGAATCAACGACAAAATCCGCAAACAGAACTTCTCAATGATAACCAATCTGTGATAAACTAATCAACGCAAACATTTTCAGTTAAACCTTCGTTCGTAATCATAAACAGAATCCTCACCATGAAGCAGTTCCAAGGCCACTCCGTTCCGTCCTCTCTCACAATCTTTGGCCTCGAAATTCCCCAATAACTGGACTCTACCACACTCTTCTCGGCCTCGGCCTTCTCCTTGTCCTTCTCCGGCAACTTCGCCTCCGCCGGCGAAACCATCGTTCTCTTCCAGTAGAAGAGCCCTCCGTTCGCTGCGCCGGTAAAGAGGAGCCTCATTTCCGGCGCCGCATAAGGCATCACCGCCGTCGAGCCGAGGCGGTTGCAGTTGCGGCCATTGAGGAGAGCTCGCCGAACCACATAACTCAATGCAATGAACTTCATCTCTCGAGAGAAGAATCGCGTTTTCCTGAGACTTCGTTTATGAGCGACATTCCATTAAGTTTGTATTTGCAGTTAGTGAAGAAGAAGCGTAGCGGTCTCAGGGAAAAGAATCAACAGGGGAAGTTTGTTAGGGTCCCATGCGTGTCTCGTGAGGCAGGTTAGAAACGTTCTTTACCATTGGATTAAAGAAAGTGAGGTAATCAACGGCTGTGATGATGATGGGAAAGGAGTGGAGGGTGTTTAATGGGGACATTAACTGTCACTAAAATGAGCATCTAGCTGGAGTGAGTAAGGCGGTTAAGAGTTGGATTGGATTCAGTGGAACGCAGATCACGTAGTTCTCAGATTCGAGAAATTTCTCGACTTTGACCAAATATATATATAGTTAAAACAATTATAAAATATGATAAATATTTTATATTAACATTAATTTATATTATTTAATATTTTATTCCGAAGATTTATGAGAGTGTAAACATTATTTATACACCAAACAATTTGTTTGTTTGTTGTTAAGTACGTATTTATAAGGAATATTTGGATTTTTTTTATGAATATTTTAAGATAAAAAAATTATCTATTTGAGTATTACTTTTGTCTTAAATAATTAAATTTTTATTAAAAAAATTATCTAATTAATCTAAGTTAAATCCATGCTCTTATTTAAGTGTTTCATTATTAATATAACAATAATATTTAACTAAAACGAAAATAATTGCTAGTAAATTTTTTTAATTTATATAAAACTTTTAAAATAATAAATAATGTGACGAAGTTTATTCAATCTTTATTTAAGTACAACTTTCAAGCATCATTAGACGTATAATACGCAGTTTAAAAAACAAATTTTAGTTTAGAGGTTGAATAACAGGTAAAAGTTAAAAGTTTCTTTCAAATAGTAAAAAAAACCTATTCACACTTACCATTAAATTAAATATTACCTTTTTATATACAATAATTTATTAAAAAATTTAATAAATATTTTACAAAATTTGTATGTTTGAGAAAAAAACTATTTTCTTAGTAAAATATTTTTTTTTATAATTTAAATAATATTATTTTTAACATATTTTTCAATATTTTATCTAAATGATCAAGCAAATATTAAAAGAAGAATAATAATAAAAATAATCATCCATAAATACTTAAATATATTAATATAATAAACTAAAGCAAATATTAAACATTTTTTGTTTTAAAACAATAAAAGATTACGTAATTTAAAAAGCATCCTTATATAAACAAAAATTTGAGAAAAACAAGTAAATGTAATTTTATATTAATATTTAAGTGTGATGCATATTTTAAAGTAAGAAAAAATTATAAAAAAGTAATAGTGAGATTTATTTGTTAATTTTTTAAATATTTGATCTGAAAGAGAAAAATGATTATTTCTAATGATTTGATTTAATCATTCATAATTAATATATACTATCTAACTATTTTATATTTCTTTTCAAATCAATTCACAATTTTAATGTTGAATAACTATTAAACTAGATATTTTGGGAACAATTTGTATTGAAGTCACCTAAATACTATATGAAATATGATAAATAATGTATACTTATAATAACTTACAATTTTTTTTAATAACTTCTAATATTTAAGGATTAATTCTCCATTCAAGTTGTCTAAGTGATTTTAAAAAATTTAAAGAATTTTTTTACTTATACATAAAAAATTAATATCATGAATATTACTTAAAGTTGATCTTATAACCTTTTAATTTTATTTTATTACATGATTTAATTTATATTTTTATTTACCATCCAATAAATTAGAAGTAATTATACGAGAAAAATCATTATCATCTAAAAATACATATTTTAAACTAGAAAGAAGAAGTTTTAAATTAAGAAATAATGTTTTAATTTAGACTCTTTATTTTCAAGATAACAAAACTATTTTTAAATTTTCTTCTATCTTCTCTACCTTTTGGATTTATTGTAGTTTTTTCTTAAGCACATTTTAGTTTTGCTTGTTTCTTTTTTTTTCTTCTCTTTCTAACGGAAACATTTTTATTAAGTGAATTTATTTTTTTCTCAACACCATCATTATAAGAAATAAATACTAGATCAATCATATTGTTGTCATTGAATAAATTTAGTTTTTGCTAAGCACTCATATAAGATTTTTCAAAATTTGATGTGATTTTGGCTTTTGCATAGTTCTTGCTGAGCACATTTAGCTTTTACCAAGTGACATTTTTTTATTAATTACATTGAAAGATTTTCACTAAACAAATTCAATTTTTGCTTAGTTTTTTTTTTTTCTAAATTCTTCTCACAATTCAACATTATCACATTTTTGCTGAGTGAAATTAGTATCTTAGACATGAAATCCAATTCTATATTATTTTCACTAAGTAAATATTTCTTTCACTTAGTGCTTTCTTCGAATTGTGGCACTAAAATGCTTATTGTCTTGTTTTCATTGAGAAAATTCAACTTTTGGTCAGGGAAATTTTTTGCACTAACATATATTTTACAGTTTTTTGCATATTTTCTCTTGAACACAATGATACGTGCAACATCAAGAAGAGTGCAAATATTTTCAACAATCAAATTATCAATGATAAAAATGCAAAATATAGAATGATCCTTTAAACTAATTATGTCGTCACCAAACTTCAAGTACCAACATGAACATATATCTTGGTATATTATATTTTCGATAATGTTTTTCCTAATGTGATTGGAGGAGTAATATTGTAAGAGTCTTCTCTCATGTCATGTATCTAGAAATTTGCAAGGAAGACCAAGTTGTCACCTTTACCAATATCTATTAAATTAGGGTTGCATTATACTTCAATTTTCTAGATGGATCACCACACTTGTGTTTGTACGTAACCAAACTATAAAAAGGAATAAATCATCAATGATATAACATTTATTGGTGATGTTGTTAAGTGGTAAAAAGTTGATATAATTATACCTTGAATTGTTACGAAATCACTTAAATTATGTTAATTCTAATATATTTTTCTCCTAATATAGGATGAATTCGAGAATACCTTGATACAAGAGTAAGGAGCACAATTGTCAGCATAATTGGAGTAAAATTAAAAGAAAGAAGAACGCTTAAGCGAATGAAAGATACGAGGCCCGACTCAAATTCTCTTATAAAAAGATATGTTATGTTTTGAGAAAGGAGACAGTCTTGGAGAAGAGGAGACACAACTACTGTTAGGGTTTCGTCTAATCTTCATCCATTGGAGCATTGTAATGGCCAACATGAGTGACTAACTTCATTCTCTTAGGATTCAGTGCACTTCCTTTGAACTCTTTTGTATCATGGTGATATTGTTGAGAAAATATCAATTAAAGGTACTTAGGATTGACTTCCTTCCTTATCCTTCTTTTGTAATGGCTAAATCAATTAAAAACGTCAATTAACTTAACAATGTTGATGTCACCTACTCAAATCATCCATGTTAATTCCTTACACATGAAATTCATAAGAAAACCTAGTAAATGTTGATTCCTCACACAATTAAGAGATTTTCCAGCATTAGGTTTAGGGTGTTAAGCAATTGATACATTCATTTCATTCCTGACAATTAACGTAACAAATATTCTTACCGCGATCTAGGGTTCAAGATATATTTTCCAATCATACCTCAAACATCAAGAATAAATCATTCCAAAGCATAAAGGATAATAATAACAACATCAAAGCATAGATTAATATCTCAAAATATCACCATGATACAAAAGAGTTCAAAGGAAGTGAATCAAATCCTAAGAGAATGAAGTTAGTCACTCATGTTGGCCATTACAATGCTCCAATTGATGAAGAAGTGAAGAATTGATAAAGATTAGACAAAACCCTAGCAGTAGTCATGCCTCCTCTTCTCCAAGACTGTTTGCTTTCTCAAAACACATCTTATCTTTTCATAAGAGAATTTGGGTCGGGCCTCGTATCATTCATTCGCTTAAGCGTTCTTCTTTCTTTCAATTTTTCTCTAATTATGCTGACAATTATGTTCCTTACTCTTGTATCAAGGTATTCTCAAATTCATTCTATATTGAGAGAAAAATATATTAGAATTAACATAAGTTAAATGGTTTCATAACAATTTAAGACATAATTATATCAACTTTCTACTACTTAACAATAATAACTGTAATATAATTCTATTAGCATTTTGATCCTTCTTAACGAGTATTTTCTATTAGAAGATATGAGAGAAAAAGTTATTGTTATATTATTTATCTAGTGAAGGAAATTCTCAATTACGAGTATTCATTATTTATCCTATTTGTGAAAGTTATTTTAGTATATAGAGATAAATACTCCTATAAATAATCATTGTAGTTAGAAGTGATGATAAATAATATTTATACTCTTAGTCTCAGAAAGAGATTAAGGTTGATAACAAGAATTTAGTGTACTCATTGATAACCAAAAGTTCTTTGATATACTTAGAATAATCTTACTAATTATAATATAAATCTTTAAGTGTTTTTAAAGCTATTTGGATGTGACTCTTAAAAAGGATTGTCTTCATCTTATTATTTTATCTAATTTTACATTTAATTTATTACTTAATTATTTTTAAAAGAACATTCTAAATTAGTAGATTAATTTATTCAAACCTAAAAAATGCGTGATATTAAATCATTATATCATTCCCATTTTTTACAAGTACAAGTTACTTCATCATATTATTATTATTATTTTCCTAAAAATCCTCCAATCAATTCTGTGCTGCAACTCATACCATTTATCAAAATAAAGGAAGAAGGATAGAAATAAATACAGAAAAAAACAATGACTAGTTGAAAGGGTTAGAAGGTAAAGAGAGAAAAAGATTGGGAGAGTTATTGCTTCTTAGTGTGCTTTTATTTCCTGAAAAAATAAAAATGCAGAAGCTTTGGGACGAGTGTGTGAGAGATTTGTGAGGAGCTTAAAAAAAACATGATGTTATTGGAGATACCAAGGAAAATTCAATGAAACAAAATAGGTGGAAATGGTTATTATAGAATTAGTAATAGGCACCGTCATATACAATTTTTTTTTTTGAATAATATAATACATTTTCTAATAAAATTTAAAAGAAAATATATTTTTTTAGAAACTAGGGTCCTATCAATCTCCTTGACTCAATCCTGATCGTTTCCGGCAAATTACTTTCTACAAAAACAAAAAAATCTTGTAATTTTCATATTCCAATATCTCTAATTATATATGAAAAAATTATCTATACATCAAAATTAAAAAAAATATATATATAGAGATTTTTTATAAAATATTTAGAAAAAAAAAACCGTAAAACATAGAAATATTCAACCATCCTAAGTTTAGTTAAGGAAAATTAATATAATTAATGAATGCTATCAAAATTTTCAAATAAATAATAAATCATTTGAATTTTTTACAGAATAATTTTTAAATTTGAATATAATATTTTTATTTTGTTTAACTAATGTCATATATTCGTTTGTTATTATTAGCAGCTTCTTCTTTTAATGGAGGTAATGTTTATTTATTGCTATTAGATCCATAAAAATAAGTTGTTTGAAAAAAAAAAGTCTGAAACTTTAAGTGAGTAAATATGTGCTTTATCATCCTATGCATCATTTACCTAGATTCAACTTGACAGGGGAGTGTTATTTGTTTCAATTTAAGAATGACTTCATAACAACAATAAAAACAAATTTTTAACACGAATAGCAATGAGAAAAATTTTACATATCATTAATTAAAAATTAGATTTAAAAAATTAACTTGTAAATGAATGTAAAAGTAGCATTAAAGTATATCATTAGGTCTTACAATCATTAGTTTATCCTCTCTTTTCCTTTATTAGGCCAATATCTCCTTTAATCATTCCTTTGAGTGCTTATTTTCTAAAGATGCCTTTCTATTAATTTTATATTATTGTTAACTCTCCAAGAATGTGTGATTATTACCATCTTCTCGGTTACACTTTACAAAGATCCAATTACAAATCAGTTATTTTATTATTAATCTCCAAATTTTTTTTGGAAAAACTTGTACTGACATTGAGAAACTTGGTTGTAATGTTAGCTTAAATTTACTGCTTTTTCCTTTTCCTTTGTGTGATCTTATGCTATAAACATCTTCAATGTATAATCCAATTACTGATCTCTAAAAAATTTCTCTTTCAAAGTGCACATTGAAAATACATTTTATTGAACCTTCAGGCACGAATAGAAAGTTTAGATCACAAAGGCTTGAAATGGTTTTGATAAAAATTTACAATGACTCAGTGATAACCAACAGGAGCTGGGGCCTCTCTTAATTCCTTTCCTTGGTGGTGAATATCCTGCAGGAAGAAGAACAAACAGCATTCAGAACAAGTACAAAGTGAAACAAACAAACAAACCCCAGGTGAAAAAACTAGGAAAGTGACAAAAATGGAACTCACAGAAGCAAAGTGGTTCACATCCCTATGGTGAGCCTCATCTGCACGAATCACAGTGACAACGTCCTTGAGAGTTGCATCCTTGGGGAGCCTCCAGTAGTCAATAGCAATGGCAGGGGCAGGGACGTTTTCAACTTTGCCACTCTCAATTGCTTCCAAATGTTGTGTGTATGAAATCACGGCCTCTTCCTCTAAATACCCAACAAACCTGTGTGCTGCTTTTGGTGAGAGGAGGTAAAACACGAAGAAGGCGTTGAAGAAAACTCCCTGTGCAGCGAAAATTAGCAGCCTCTCGTGCCATTTGGGCTTCACCAGCTCCACCATGGTCATCAGGTGCATCCTCTCGTTCTCTGCTTCCTCAAGCAATGCCTTGATCCAACCCCCACTGTGCTGAAACTTCCTCAATGACTTCAGGTGCAGCAGCATTCCTCCCACCATTCCTGGAACGGCTGCAATTGTTTCCAGCATCATGGCATGGCATCCATACCGTTCCTGAATGTGAAATATTTCAACTCAATTTCTTCCATATTTTGCAGCAATGTGGGCTATATGTTGAAGCAGATTCTTCTATGTCACAACTTAGATTCAGTTTTATAATAAGTGTTTCTAGCATTGCTTTTGAACCAGAATTGATGCTTCAACAATCCACCAATAAAATGTTCACATTAAATGTGAGCAGAACTTCAAAGGAAAACTCCAATTCTGCCAAATCAATTTTTTTGCAATACCGACATTAACCGACCCAACTAATAATAGTTTTTGCCCTTAGTCAAGTGATCAGGGTGGTTCGAGCACTGATGATCTGTGCTCCTAAATCTTTTGCAATTCAGTAGTAATCTAAAATTTGGGATCCTAATGATTACTACTTACTCAAATAGAAACACATGTTGGTATATTCATTATTGATGTCAAATTGAAGGAAGAAATCTTATTATTGCACATAGAAGTAGTACATACCTTGAAGTACAAATCAGAGAGAACCCTTAGAAATTTGACAGACCTAAAAGCAACCTTGTCAGTTAACGACTTCGGTGTGTGATGCTTGGTCACGTCTATTGACACATTTGAGTGGTAAGAGTCCCATGGCTGCGAGTGATAGCATAGAAACAAAAATGTTCAGAGCTCAAACTTCATACATCATAAAAATACATACAAACATGTTCATCACGAGAATTTTCTACATGGTAACGCAACACAAAGGTGAATTTTTCAGTTTACGAAGAGTTCACACATTCTTACCATGAAACAGTTCCATGGCCACTCAGTTCCGTCCTCCCTACGAACCTTGGGCCTTGAGATCCCCCAGTAACTCGAAACGACGGCGTTGGTGGTGCTCTTGTTGTCGTTGACCTCGTTTGTTTTCTCCTCTGAGTTGTGATCCTTTGTCTCCGGAAGGGTGGACATCCTCCGCAAATAGAAGCTTCCAAACGCGCCGCCGCCATGCTGGTGTCTCAGCTCCAAGATCGCCGCAGTTGGAAGGTGGCGGTAGTAGCTACGACCACCGCCAACCAGAGATCGTGCCGCTGACCTTACTAAAATATGCTTCATGGTGGATCTTGATAGCATGTGATGTTTTGTTTGAACCTTGATCTGTGGGTGAAAATGGCTGAGATTTGAAGATTTATAAATACACGAATATTAAATATTTTATGTTGGTGTTCAATTTTGTGTTTGCGACCTGATGATTGCGCAGACAGGAAAAGAAATGAAGGTCACGCAACGGCGACAACATGGCCATAAAGTTTTGATTTTGGTTTGCGATGGTTATGAACCGTTTGATTAATTGTCCTTTTTTGACAACAACTGTTACTTGCCATGATGTTGGAAAGGTAATGGTTATAAACTGTTGCTATGGAGGACGTGTCCATACGAGATTGGACTTCTCTCAAACGTTGACTATTATTTTGTTGAAGGGTGACTTCCTTTCGGACCAATTGCAACTATTAATTTTTCCCATGATTTTCCGCTACATCTCCCTCCTCCCCGCAGCACCCATGACACCTTCGTACAGGACTCCATCCCAGTGACCAAACTTCATAGTAGTCAAGGGGAAATCACCCACAAAATTTTCTATATTTATGACTTTCACCCTCCAATATTAAATAAATAATTAAATATATCATATAAAAAAATAAAAAAAATAAATTAAAAAGATTAAAAATAATTTTTTTTTCATCTTTTTATATTTTATTAGTATTTAATTATTTTTCTAATTTTTAAGAAATAATATTTAATTATTTTTCTAATTTTTAAGAAATATATTAAATTAGAAAGATTAAAAATAAATTTTTATCTTCTTTCACATTTTTATACTCTCTCATGATGATATTAATTGATTAATATTTAATTATTTCTATAATTTCTATTTTTAAATTTATTATTTATCTTTTTTCTTCTCACTTTGAATTTCATGATCGAAATTATATTAATTGATTAATGTACTTCTTTTTTATTTTCTCACACTCTTTATTTTATTATTATTTATTATTTTGATTTTTTAGAGGAACATTTGTTATTTGAGAAAAATATTTTTATTTTTTATAAATTTTTATGATTCTATAATTATAAAAATATTAATAAATTCACTTTTTTTTTCTAGATATGAAGCATAAAAGAATATATTCATCTTTTAAAAGTGATAAAAAAGATATTTGTAGAGATGAAAACCAAAAAAATTTAACAACTTCTCCGGTTCCAAAACATGATATTGATGATTCAATTATTTAATTAGAAGAACCTCTTTCTAATATTCATAGAATTAAAACTAATTAATTTAATATTAATTCTTTGGAGTATGACCCAGGAAAACGTCTTCATATATATGAATATCCCATGAATCAAAGAGATGAAATTATAAGAGCTTATTTAAATTGGGATTCATATCAAATATAACTTAAAAACTATCTTTTTTGTAAGAGAAATACCTAGGATATTTTAATATGTTTGACAAGATTCAAAAATTAAGAAAGGAAGGAAAAAATATTTGTTGAAAGATGTAATATTGTTTTGTGAACAACATGACATTGATATTCCTAATTTTAATTTTGCATGTCATGGGCATTCTCGATATAAAAAAGATTGTATTACAGATAGAACATCATTTCGGGATGAACATATTTTTTTATTATAGTGGATAAATAATTACAATAATTAAATGATAGCTTTAGTGAGAAAACAATTGAACTTTTAACTTTAAGTAATGCTTTAGTTCCAAATGATGTTTATAAAATTTTTAATATTGATCATATATGCACACTTGTGAATAAATTTTATCCTTTGGATTTTAGTGCACAAGAAAATATTAATTTAAAATTTCAACTTCATCATTTTATACTTGAAGCTCCTAACGATCCAGATTTGAAGAATTTGTCTACCATGCTTGAATTATGTCAATCTTTGATAAAAACAGGAAGTCAGGTACATTTTACTTAATAGATCATTTTATTTATTTCATTTTAACTCTTATTGTTTCTACAGGTACAACTAAAAGATTGTTTTCTCGCAATGAAGATTATTAAAACAAGATTGCAAATAAAATAGAAGATGAAATTCTTGCAAATAATATGCTCATTTATATTGAAAAAGAAATAACTAAAAACTTTAATTCTGATTCCATTATTGATGAGTTCAAACATTTAAAAGAACAAAAGACGAAACTTTTAATAAATATCTTATTTTTAGTTATTATTATATATTTATTTTTATAATTGGCCCCCAGACTGATCGAGTCAAGATATGCCACTAATCATAACATTTGCTAAGTTCTTCTTGCTTACTAAGCAAAATTTCTTACAATGTGTAAAACATTCTAACTGTCACACTACATAACAATCTCTTGGTGCTTATGCCCGAGTTCTTCTATTATCCTTTTAATCCAAATAGCTTCCTTACAATGTGAGAAGAAAAGTCTGACATCAGGGAAATTATATGTTGATGCTTACTTTTCCTGTTATAATCTTGTAAATCATCTCTGTCGCCGCCATCAAAAGAGGCAGTCGCAGCAATGCGATGGTTTTTTTATTCGACTCGCATTTTAAAAAGTGTGGTCATCACCCTTAAGATGTCCGATAACCGAACTATTCTAAGGGAGAGGTTTTCATAAGTGGGTTCTGGAGTCGCCACTAATATTTTAACCAAAAACATTGGAAAAGGAAAAAAGAAGACAGTGGTTTTAAGAAAAAACAACTTTGGTCATTACAACCAGAGTTAGGTAAGGGAGTTAGTTACATGTGGGAAATGTATCAACTTCCCCACGACGCCTCTTTCGGGTTCCCTATGATGGACTGTTTACTTTAAAATAAGAACATTAAAATCATGTTTTTACCCTTATTTATTCATTGAAAATTTTTAAATAATTGACTATATGACCCTAATAACTAATGCGCAGAGAGAGTAATTAACAAAAGTGATAAAAGAGAATAAGAGGTTTAGGAACCTTCGAAGCAAGCTTTTATAAATTTGCAAGGGGTGCTTTTTGGCGATTCCCCACTCTCTACACAGACACTCCTCTCTTGAACCGGTAAACTACCAAAACTGCTTAGACGAGCTAGAATTGGACTTTCGAAGCAAGAAAAGCAAGTATACAGAGTATTGGAGTAAGAACTATATAATTTCTAGTTTTTTTCTTCTCCTTTTTCCCTGAAACGGAGGTCTTATATATAAAAATGTGTGCCCGTCAGACTGGGACGACCGCCTCGCCTGACAAGGTTGAGACCGCCGTCTCGCCATTCGAAATGGCCTTCTCGCCAAACGAGACGGTGTTCTCGCCCTTTTGGCGAGACGACCATTTGGCCAAATGGGATATCCTTCTCGGTCTTCTGGGCAGAATTCTCTTATTTTTTGTGTATAGAAAGTTTTCCTAGTTTAGCATGGAGCCTAATAAGCATGCCTAGGGACCTTTGAGGCCTTGTCCATCTTCGAACGAAAGTCTTCTGTTCTTTATTGCGAGGCTGGGCAAGATTTGGGGTCTACAGCTGCTCCCCCTTCACCTGATTAGCCGACCGTTGGCCTAATATGCCAAGAGATCGGCTAGAGGGTGAAGGAGTTGACCCTCTTACCTGGTTGTCCTTCGGTTACTTCCCTTATCGTGGTAGCTGACCTTCTGGACGCTGAATGTGATCCTCCGGGATGCCCCTTTGATGCGATAACTGACCCCTTCGATTGTAAAATCTGGTTTAAGCTCCCTTTTGTAAGGCTTGATGAGTGTTAGAAAAGTAGTTTTAGATCAAGAGGGGGGTGAATTGATCTTTGAAAGTTTTTCGCAAATAACAAATTATCTATTTGTAAAAAAAAGATTTCAGATCTGTTCTTGAATCACAAAGCAAACAATAAAAAATAAACGCAACAACAGAATTAAAAGAGGAGAAAGGTTTAGAAAGATATCACCAGTGTTTATACTCGGTTCACCCAATACTGTGGCTACGTCCAGCTCTCCAACCAAATTCCAACTGGTTCCACTAGATCAAATGTTTTACAGACTACAATCTTACACTTAATCTACCACAAGAACCACAATTCCAGCTTCTCGCACCTAACCTTTCACCAAGAACCAAATTCCAGCTTCGACAACCTCTACAACCAAATTCCAAATGCAGAGAAACCAAAGGCCCACAATTCTAGGCACCAAACAATACAAAA